AATTCGCAACTCTTATGCAACGCACAGTACTTGCTATCTGCCCTTGGCTCGAATCTGCACCTGGTTGAGGGTACAGCAACACCAGTTCCCGGTTTGGTCAACCACAAGAACAAAAATGGCAATACACCTCTGCACTAGGTTGCTGTCAACTGTCACATATCGTGCGTCAAGGCCTTGATAGCTACAGGGGCAGATCCAGCCATCACTAACGATGCGGGCCATGATGCGTTGTACGAGGCGGATCGTAGTGGGAAAGAAGGTGGAGAATAGGTGGCGGAATGGATTCTCGCGAATTGTGAGGGGCTAGAGAAAGGGCTGAATGGGAAGGATGTTAGTGCAGAATCTGCTGCTGAGGTTCTGGTGGAAGTGGACGATGGGATGGGTGATGAGCCCAACGGAACATGAACTGCAGCCTTTCTAAGACCCAAACGCTACGACCGCTACCAGAGGGCGCCCTGTACATACTCGTCATGGGAGTCAAGGCAGCCCAGCTCAAGGCAATGAAGTTGAGATCACATGGAACTTCCCAGAGCCTTTGTCGATGGTCGACACTGGGGTTCTCAAACTCTGTCAACCATCAGACGCTCCTTTTGGCAACTCGTGTTGCAGAAAGACCTAGAGGATGAGCGCAGTTCGGGCCAGCAGCCTCCATTAGAATTGGTCAGACAGACTCAGCCATGGAAATCAGTATCAGATACACCACCATTGCAGAGGCGCAGGAGGTACCAGGCGAACACTACTTCGAAGTCGCTTCCGCTACTCGCGCGCTCTAGGGCTACCCGTGGTCTATGCCGGATCAAATCTATCTATCTAGCGATTACACACAGAAGCTGCGATAGTAAAAAGGCATACGTTCAGAGCCACTGAACTTTCACCTATCGAGCAGAGAAACGAGAACACGTCGCTACCTTCCTTTCCTAGCTGGAGGAGTAGAGGCTGAGCGTGCAAGAGTCGAGCAATGCCAACCGGAACAAGGCGAGAAACATCTCATGAGACAACCATCTCGTCCATATTTAACGTCCAGGGTGTTTTCTCCACGCAGAGCAATCAGAATGTTCCGTATTGTTGACGCCACTGTCCCTTTGTGAGGCCATTGGCAGCCATTTTCGATGTTGGTTTCCATTGAACGTTGAGAATATGTTCTCGAAGCAAACATTAATGAGTAACGATATGTCGAAGCTTGGTGGCCAATCGAGGAGTTTTCAAAGTACTTCACCTTCCCCGTCCTCGTCCCCGTCTGCGTCGCTTACCTGGCGTAAGGGTCCTTGCGTCCCAGACTCCCAATCTTCGATTTTGTAGAATAGTGCACCTGAAGCGTCCTGACGCTTCGTATTGGGAAATAAGACTCGATTGTATTCAATGACAAGTTTCGTATCCCCTTTAATTTGACTAGCAGCTCGTCTTCTTCCAGCGTGAGTTCAAACCCCTTACTTGGATGTTAGGGGGCTGGCTGGAGGGCAGACAAGTCTTCTGTGGGCTTTCACATAGCGACGGCGACCGGAGGAGAAATGTTTGTTGGAGCGAGTCTTGACGAACTTGAGAGCATAGAATGTCTCCGAGCCGATCACCTGGATCATGAGGGATCCTTAGAGCGACAACTCTAGGTAGCCTGGATCCATCTCTAGTATCCTGTTTGACATACTACGTACTTTCATTGATGCTGTAGCAGATGCTAGCGCTAGACCAACAGTACTTCAGGCCCCCCGCGTGTTGAATGTATTACAACGCTTGTAAGGCGCGTTGGTTTCACACACTTCAGTTCGTAGTTCGTTGGTATCAGAAATGCCAAGAGGAATAGTGACACTTACAGTAGTACTACGCTACAAGCATCAATAGTTTGAGCATCTAGTTAGCGACTGACCTCAATATTATCTCGTATTATTATGATTACGGCCTCAAAGAGACAATATCACACATAAGCGTGATGTGACTTTCCCCCACTCCCTACATTCACATACTCCTAACTTCTAGGCGATTAATGATGCATTGCTTTCTCCTTTCGCCGCCATTATCGCCTTATTTGGCGCTTCAACGCACTAGCAAAGCTTTGTCGTCAAATGCAAGACTTGATTATACTCGCCTGATGTCTTTCATCTTTCTTTTTCCTCCCCTCTTGAAATGCATCCCGACCTGTCAGTCTCCATTGTCGCTCCTTGGTCCTGAATATCTGGGTTCCAAGCCAGCAAAATGCGATTTGCCATTCTGCTTGTGGTCACCACTAGCTTCTTGAACTATGCCTTTGCCTCGCCTGCTGCAGCAAAACATATCGAAGAGAGAGGTACCGAAGTCTCAATAGTCCATATCTCCAATGCACTTACCATCTTCGTAGCCTTAGCTTCGAAAAGCTGCCATAGGGACAACCTCTTCCGGTCATTCATCGATACAAAATACAGCTCCGCTGCAAGTGTCTTCTGCAGTACTTTTATTCAACCTAAGATAACTTCGACGACAACTTCAACGTAAGGGCCGATCCCCAATCACCGCGGAAGCCCGGTCTACATACTGATCTTTTCTAGGTCTACACTCAACGTTCTGGCCGCTGTCACAGTGTCTACAGCTGTCACAACGATATCTACCACCACTGCCACACTTTCGACAGCGACAATCACAGCGGGAACGACCACCATCACTGGAGGAACAACCACGGTGACTGCGTACACGGTTACATACACTCATTTTACCTCCGTGACGGTAGCCACCGTAACTCAGACCCAGACAAACACTCTCACCGGTACAGTTACTCTCACAACTGGGACCTCGACTGCAAGCACGCTCCTACCACGTGCGGTTACGACACCCATCATGCCCCCGGCTCTGATCGAAGAGAGGGCTGTTACCACATCACCAGGCTGGCATACATATCCATCCTCAAGACTCTCAAGCGCTTGTTCCTGCATTCTGAACGCACTGCCGTCTCCTACCACGATTCTCAGCACAGCTACAGTGTCCGTCACAGTAACAAGCACCTCGAGTATTACAGAGACAAATTCGGTTATCGCGACCAAGTTCGCTGTTGAAACGACCACTGTCACCGCCATCCAGACAATCACGCAAACAGATCTGGCCACTTCAACTGTAGCTGTGACTTCAACATGTTCTGTTACCGCAACCGAGACCACCACCATCTCAGTGACAACGACCACCACACGGCTCCCCTGTCCCACGCTAGTAGGCAATTTGATGCAAAATGGCGACTGGGAGACCGGTACCAACGAAGGCTGGGAAATTTTCCGATATGGCGCAACCGACCCTTCCGTCAGCCCTGAAGCAGCAGAAACCTGTCAATTTGGATTCAAAGCAAGGGCCGGAGGGGGTGGAACTTACTTCCACATGTTTCACAAAGTAGCACCCATTGAGGGAAAGTCATATACATTCCAGGGCAGCTACAAGTTCTTGACAGACGACGACTGCATCTTGAAGGTGAGTGCACCGGGAGTGCCGGAGACGGATATTTACAACACACCCGCTTTCGCGGGTAAATGGCAGCAGTTCACATTCACTCGTATTGCCCCAGTACCCGGGAGTGATATCCGGACCCCGGGTGATGTCTGGTTACTAATAGACTGTCGAATCAACAGTGGTGGCCCAATCGATATCATGCACCTAGATAATTGGAGTATGGTACCGATCTAGTCAATCAAGCTTCAATTGAATCAAATGAACTGTTTCCACATCGATTGCTTGGCGCTGCAAGTTGATAAAAGTACTGCGAATCATTACTATAGGTACTGCAATGGTGATATATTGTACTTTCTTGGCTGTTGGTATTGTCATAATACACTGATTTTACTGCTATAATTACAGTCTAGTACTCAATTCTCGTCCTATCCGTGTATTCAATGTAATGCGCCTCGAGAGGCTGTGGATATGGACTATTTGGAGGAATTGCTGTCTACAATGCAGGCACGCTGTTAGGTCACCATTAACGCTGACGGTAAGCAGACACCATAGTAAAGAGAGCTCAAAACAGACATTCTATGCTCAAAACAACAAGTAAATAACGTGTATAGCCAGGAGAGTGATACCGGCTTTGGCTCTATAGTGTTGTATTGAAACTAGCTTTTGCAGGCCAAGAAAGTACAATATATCACCCAGTACCGAGTACTACCCGTATGCTATCTCGCTTCACGTGATTGTCCTGTGCTAGCTGACACTTTTTAACTAGAGATAGTTTAGCGCAGAATCACCACACTAGCACTTCGCCTGCGCTATGTACTATGTACTACGTACGGCACTTCTGTTACATAATAGCATATTGTACGTCTTGCATTTCGACCATAGGATGTGGTGAAGCCAGATACTGATCCGATGATGGCGCCTTACGGCAGACCGCCAGCCAAAAACGGCCCTAAGATACGATCCGGTGACCACGCTAGCTACCAAGAAAGGGTCCACATACTGCGCCCGAGGGGCCGCTGATGAGATTGGACCCTGAAAGAGGCATCGTAAAGACCGACCGAGAAACAGCGATAGACTTTCTACTCCATCTCTGTGCATCTGGCTGGAAGTTTGGCGCGTGAGACTGTCCAGAGCGAATGACATTGGATTCCATTCTAAAAGGCGGGTCGAATTTATTCAGCCAGACGATTTTGTCATCCGACTGTCACTCGCGAGTCTGGGAGAACCAACAGCATTCACCGTTCCCCTCTTTCCTTCAGCGACAGCGAGTTAGACAATCCTACCGCATTGATGCTCTTTTTCCACGATCTGGATAGGTTCTCTAGATGTGCCTGTCTTCTGAGTGACTTGCACGTCAAATTCGCCACCGCCTAGAATTGCCATTCCCCATGCTGAACTTGAGGAAGATACTTCTCCTCGTAAACTTCACAGAAAAACTCGACCCCCCAGAATCTGTTCTGACAAATGCGTGGATCATTCACTACGGTTGGCGTAAACGAAACAACAGCGCTGGCTTTGATTCCTGGGATTTTGAACACGGCCAAGGATGTTTTCGGAATGTCGTGGTATGCCAGCTGATATAGGACCTGCATTCTATTGTGGTCCCAGGCCGCAATTCGAGACTGTAAGGCTTTCAAGGCCGTGGCATGTGCCCTATAGTCCATCACCGTGCACTGGAGGTGGCTGATATCCAGCGAGGACCAGCCTACCAAGTACAACATGCACTCGAATTCGACTTCGGTTTTACGCCGACCATTTGGCAAGCTGAAATTTGCGCCTACTCTCATGGCGCCCGAGTCCCATCTGGGATCCCCGGACACGAAAAACAGTCTATCCTGACTATCGAAGCGCCGACCCCATGGCCATGTGTCGTCTATCTCCAATTCGTCCCGAAGCTGGACTTGCACAAAGTGTGACCGCGTTTGGCCTATGAAAAGGCTCATATCTAAGAAGGGAGACTCCGGTGGCCGCGAAACCTTGGGGAGCTCTGTCAGGAGGTATTGCTCCTTCGGGGCATTTACCCAGAGATCTTCCGAGTATTCCACCACAGCCCATGGATCCTCTCTAATGAACTGGTCGGGACCACACTTTCTCAGTCGCACCGCGAGCAATTGGTTGGGCTCTCTAGAGCAGTCGAGTGGCAATAGGTATCTGGTTCCTCTCTTGCCCGGGATTCGCTCAGAAACTATCTGTACTTGAGTTTTAATGCTGCCGTTTGAAACCGAAAGTTCTCGCCAGTCATGACCTGGTCGTTTCTCCAATGATATACCCTGAAAGAAGACAAGCGGTGATTTGGCTAGGACACCAGAAAACAAAAGGCTGTTGGGTTTTCCGGTATTTTTAGTGTTTGGAAGCCATGTCCAGGCAAATATGCTCAAGTCAGGGGTGGACCTGATGATCTCTTCTTGCAGTCGCCGAAATGCCTTCTCCTCTTCACCGTATAAAAGAGGCATGTTGATGTCGAAGATGCCCAGCAGGCAGTATGCCGTATCTTCCATGCGGGTCGTTGTCCGGTTTGCGGCCCAGGACATCTTCTGAACGACGGCTACGGATGAGAGCGGTTGGGCATGGGACAGAATGGCGGGCTTGATCCCTGTGATCTTAGAGCGCTCTGACCAGATCTTGTTTCGAGCCTCTGTTGTTCCAGTCTCGATCGAAGAAGTTGGTGTCTACGGGAGCGATCAACTCCTGCAGCGTCCACCCGCGAGTGAATCACCGGCAGCTTGGGAGCGCCGTATCCAGAAATGCGGATGCAGGAAGGTCTGAAAGGTATGCAAAACAGATCTGGCTCCTTTGATACCATCGGTACATGGAATTGATAGCTTCAGTGAGCTCGGCACTGCTAGACTTGTCAATACAGCGTGTGTCCACCCATGCGTAGTTAATCCCCTCTTGGGCCGCAAACTGGCAAGTCATTTCGATCTTGCGGTAGCCTTTCTTGCTCTTACAAGATTGGTCGCTCATGTCCCGAAGGGATACCTCCTCCTCCTCCTCCTCCTCCTCCCATGTGTGGGAAAGGATCGCGTCGGGGGGGATGTTCATCCCGATAAACTCTTCCAAGGCGCCAGTGCTGGTATTGATGAGTCTCATGCTCTCTGCGGAATTCCACCATCGCTGTTCTCTTTTGGGACAGAGTAATAGTCGTCCCGGAACACGACCCTTTCGCCCGAAAGATGTCGGTTCTACTACCAGAGGTGTCTTCTTACAACTAAAACTTTTTGGCTGGTGGCAGAAAGCGTCTTGGCAGCTGAAGTATAGAATAATCTGCTCCGCACTTAGCCTAACAATGTCTGCTTAGTCAACGGCTAGCCCATTTCGAGACTAAGGCGATGACTTGTCTGACACTCCGCTCTTCTCAATTATCGAACTTGCGTCTTTTATCTGGCCACGTATTGGTATCCAAAAAGAACAGAAATCTACATCAAGCTCACCTCGCACTCACCTACTCCGACGCCGCTTTTACCATCATCCTTTCTACCCCGAGCGCGGGTGAGTGGAAGGTGAGCCGAGGTGAGCCGAGGTGAGTCGAAGTGTCGGCCTATTGGTGGGGCTACCTCGCATTCCTCAAGATAAATCTTACGATCCATCGATTTCGCGATTGATAAAACTACGAACCATGCCTAATGAATCTGACGCCTACCACAAGGAAACTGAGCGGACACCTGCAGCAGCTATCGCCGCTGCACTCCACGATGGTAAAAAGCATCTTCTTCTAGCTGCGAGCGGTTCCGTTGCTTCGATCAAGCTACCACTCATTATTTCCGCGCTCGCAAACAACCCTAACCTCTCTATTCGTATCATTCTCACCAAATCCGCGGCCCGTTTTCTCGCCGGCCAATCTCCCGAACAACCCACGGTCGCCTCCCTCTCCTTGCTCCCCAAGGTCGATTCCGTTCACTAGGACGAAGACGAGTGGATTGAGCCGTGGAAGAGGAATGCAAAGATACTCCACATAGAACTTCGCCGCTGGGCTCACCTTCTCGCGATTGTTCCAATGTCTGCGAATCTGTTAGCCAAGGTTACGCGGGGTCTCTGTGACAACCTCCTGACGAGTATTATCCGTGCATGGGATATCAACCCTATGAACCCGAAAAGGCGCCCGAATCATTGTTGCACCAGCTATGAACAGCTTCATGTGGGCTCATCCTGTAACGGCGAAACAAATACAAAATACTCGACGAAGAATGGGGTGCTAATGGGCCCAATCCGGCCCAAGGGTGGTTTGAGGTGTTACCGCCACAAATCAAAACCTTAGCCTGTGGCGATACTGGGCAAGGTGGAATGTGTGATTGGCAAGTAATCGTCGCTGTGATCGAGGAACGTTTGTCACTAGCTCGTTCGAAAACTGCAACTTAGATTGAGACGCCAGCATAGGTCATCGCCGCGATGCATGCCTACTACCACCCTTCCTCCGTGACTCTACTCAGCGAATCTGGCTACTCATACCAAGAGGAGAGAGGAAGCGTTATCAATATCTTCCTCTAACCCCTAACATATTGGAAGAACTCAAGTTAATGACGCACGCGCCTTCATCCTAAATCAATCCACTTGTACTGCCTCCTCTACTCGTCGCCAGTGTCGCCTCCGCTGTCATCACCCGCCTCGCCGCCCTCAGGACCCTCATCGTCGCTTTCTGATTCGGCTTCATCTTTAACACTCGCAAATATCTGCAAATACTCGAGAGTGTCTTGATCGTTCCCGTCCGCCATCTCGTACGCCATCTTAGCGCGAGGCATGCCAGTGGCTTCATTTACTGGCTCTAGAATTTGACGGGATTTCCAAAATAGAGCGATGAGTTCTCTGTCTTCGTCCGTCATTTCCTTCACAGCCCGCTTCTCCGGCACCCGAATGTCGAGAAGGTCGGTTTCGTTCTCGCTTTGAACGTCGTAATCCTCATCAACCCCGCACTCCTTTCGTAGTTGCTCTTGGATATGCAACGTCTCCTTATAATTTTGTGATGAGTGGTCAAGTGTGCTCTGAACTAAATCGCCATCTCGGTTAGAGAGGTCAATGAGAGCTTTCGTTGTATCAATGAGCATGAGGGTATCCGGACCCGCTCGATGGGCCCGTTGATGGAGGGTTGAGTTCGGACAGAGGAATTGGCGGAAGTACTAGTCAGGAACCCTGGGAGGACCCTTTTCCAGTGGTTTACCAGTCCAATCGAATTGGCCGGAATGTTCTCTCCCATGATCGTCCCCAAGATCTGTCGATCAATCCCGTTAATTGACCATTCACCGAGGTCTGAGTTCGCGTTCATACCTGCATCCAACAATATATCTCGAATGTCGTCAATTGTAATCCCACGAGTTTGGGGTCCTTCGCCATAGATTATTTGCATAACGCCCCAACTAAATCTTGTTGGTGGCCCAGTGCGAGGAGCATCGGCCAGAAGTTCTTCGACCGACTGATCGTACTTGATGGGAGTGTAAATGACCAATTCTCCATTGAGGTCGTAAACGGCGAGTTCGACCGGAATGAGTTTTCTTTTCTTCCTATTCTTTATTGGTACTGTTGCGAATTCCGTATCACTGCAGTATACTCGTCCGAGTCTATTCGCGCTTTCGATAAAGCGGGCCAGTTGCACGACAGCCGATGAGACGGGAACTGCTGATGGGCATACTGTCATTTCATCCGGATTGCCTACGTCGACTCCCCAGCCCGTCCTTTTTGCTTTGGATAGAGCGTAGCGTCCCCCTGTCGCCTTCATTTTCAAGTAGCGCTCATGGTGTTCTTCGCATGCTGGAACCATTCCCCCTGCATCGACCACAGCCTCGTTGGCGCAGTTCAAGTATACAGTACATAAGCCCCTTATCGCCTTGGCCCGCTTGGCCGCTATGTGTCGCCTACTAGTACTACTAGTAGTAGTGTTTGCGGCTTTCTTGGCACGCGCGTTGTATGCAACTTCAGTCCCTTCATGTTCCACTTTGCAGTGTTCTCTGCACCCAGCGAACGTAGCGTACCTGACACCACAGCCATCGATGTTGCACTCGACTCCAATCAAGTGAAGAGCCAGCAACAGAAGACTTTTGGTGAGGTACTCTTTGATCGGAGAGGTCATCGGGATTCGACTTGGGCTGTGTGAGTTTTCTAGGCGACTGAGACCGAGTTATTCCCACGATAGGCTCTGGTGAAGAGATCCGTTTGGTTGACTGACTGGAGAGGGTTGAAGGTCGCAAGTTATTTGTGAAGTAGAGACTCTGTCTGAGACCCCATTTGGTTGGTGACCGACGATATTTTCTGCTCGGAGTAGGGCTCAAAGAGGATGCGCTTCTTGGCAATTGGTTCGAAAGGGGTGGAGGCACCACGTCCGTTAAGATAGAGGCTGGGCTATCGTTGTCGGTGGTGGCAGATGCCACTTGGCCGCCTGGACCTTTGTTGGATAACCGGTCAGAAACCAGTCGAAGTTGAGAATATTTTATCGGTGTCTGAAATTTCCTCTTTCCCGCTACCGGCTTCAGAGAATATAGGTGGCTCTTCAGTTGAATCGGTTGCTGTGGCGAAGTGTTGTTGTGCGAGAATTCGATTCATGCCAAAAGGAACAGTATCTGAGGGTTGATATTGCTTTCTTACCTCGCAACTCTAAATCATTCGCTGTCTGATAGGACTTCACGGACTACATCGGAAACTTTAAGCGAGTTCTATTGGAAATAGGACTCGCTGACGGAGCCTCACTTGTCGACCAACTCGGAACGATATTTGGTGGCAGCATATTGTGCTGAGAATAGGCCGAAGGAGACAAATCAATGATGATATTCGACGATTAAGGTCTGCGAGAAGGTAACATCTCGTCCGAGTGCAATGCACCGCCTGATGTACTAGCAGAGAAAAATCGTAGGTAGAAGAATTGGCCCTGTTCTCTCTTAAAAAGACGTAGGGCGCGCAGAAATAAGTACAAATTACAGGGGAATTAGCTGCGGAAAATGACCAATTAAAAGTAGGCAAAATGTAGGGGTAATGTGTAGAAATATAGTAGCGTCTGACAACTTGAATTCTCCAGTGTCCGCCAAGACCATTACTATTCCATCAAAAATATCCTTGTCAAGACTTCAGTTTGACTACTGAATTTATCAAATCCACAGAGGCCAATTTGCTTTGACGAAAGCACTGATTTGATTTGATTTGATTTGCCAAGCATTTGATTTGATTTGTTTGATTTGACGGACACACTGATCGCATAGACTCCTAGAGAATGGCTATTTCTATTGCCGCATGCGGCCAACATTAGTCTACTCTGACCGGCCATGGGCGCGAGAGAACTTTGGTGACCGTTCGGCTCGAGAGCACCAGATTGCAAGACAAGCGAAGCTTCGAAAGCTTAAAACAAAACAGATCAGGCATGCCAACTACCTTTCTCGCATCAGCTAGACCTGATGATATGTGGCAAGCAGATAAAGGGTGATACACCCTGTGGTGAGCCGACGGCTAATTGATCTTGTTCATGTGAATCACCGTCAAAGGAGGCGCATTTAAGTACCAAAGGTCTGGCTCCATGCTGCTCATTGTCGGAAAGATATATAATTTTGTACCAAGTATATCTTCATTGGAAAACAAGACTAAAAGTTGGAGAGGTTCAAACATCCTCAGACTTGGCCGGGAGCATTATGAGCCGAGAAGACTCGAATTATTTGCACCTTAGGAGAATGCCGTGCTTGTGAATGCGCATTAATTTCTGAGCAGCGAGCGAGGCACCAGTAGATATGGGAAAGCTAAGCTGTTGAGAAGTGAGCTGTTCAGACCACGTTCTCATAAATATCTTTTGAACCAATCCACAGCCTGTTCTCTGGCCTCCTCCATTGCCATCATAGCCTCTTTGTCGCCAGGCAATGCCCGGACAGTGAAACCGTGCTTGCGCCCCCCATATATCCTGATCTCATAGTCACTCTCTTCCGGCATACCCACTGTCTGCCTCAGTGCCGCCTGCGTCTCGAGCACCTTCTTCTCGCTGTATGCTATGTCGCTGTCCCCAATGGCCATACTATAGGGAGTGTGAAACGTCTTAATAGCGTCAACGACCATCTTCGGCGCGCTCAGCCCAGAGGGATGGCCACAGAACTGCGCATCCATCAACCTTTCCGTTCCACCCTCCACTGCTGGATCCTTGCACAGATTGGTTGAAGAATACCCACCCCAGCAGAATCCTGCAACGCCGAGCTTTGCGGGGGCAAACTTGAGGCAAAGGGGATAGCCCGTCGCAGGGCCTGATCTAATCAGGAAAGGACCAAACACAGACACAACCCGCAAGAACGTGACAATCCTCTTCAATTGTCCCCAGACATCCCACCAGGGGACTGTTTGCGCCATGATACTCTCCATATCAGCCATCAAACTCACAGGAGCAGGTCCACCTGGGATAATGTCCGGAGCAATGACGCGGAAGCCGGTTTCGGCGGCAAATCTGTCGCAGAGGAGCTTGTTGTTGATCAGGTTCAGGCCGAAGGCGTCGCAGAGGAATATGATTGTAGATTTAGAATGAGAGGTAGCAGGGGCTGAGGCTATGTAACAGGGATAACCGTACATCCTCTCCATACTACCTTGAGCCTCGCCGGCATGGTCATGGACTGCACCCTTGAAGCAGTCAGGGCACGACATTGCTGAAATCCTGTGAGCTTCAACAGAGCTTCGCTTCCGAGGAGCAGAATTTGCGGAAAAAGCGTTGAGGAATAGATTTCACCGGCAGAAGGGATTTCTAAGTTTACCAAACGCTCGGCTGATAAATATTGCCCATTGCAAAAGAGTTGCGAAAGCTTGCACATGCTTCGGAGCTGCTGCTGCTCCTCCTCTGTTTTACTCAAACAGCTACAGAGGGCCATACAATGATCTAGAAATATAACGGCTACCTCTTTCTGTAGCTGAGCTTCCCCTGATTCTTTTATTATAGATTTTATGTGTAAAGGATATTTCTTGATTAGTGACACAGGGGATAAGTCCTCATCCACTCAACCTATTATATCTAAACTTTCAAAACCCAAAAAATCCGTTCGAATTAAGATTAGTAGATATATAGCTACTAGATAATACGAATTTTAGAGTAATGTACTACTAGTAGTACCTAATAAAGAATCTAGTATGAACAGCCGGAGCAGCAGCAGCTCAGAAGTATGCGCCAAGCTTTCGCAACAGTTTTGCAACAGTTTTGCAACGGACAACAGTTCAGAATCGGTCCTCGGCGGAGTTCACGCACGATGAGAGGATCTTATTTCCAGGTGTCTGAGTAGCTTCCTCCGCGGCTGGCCCGGAGGCCTGTCATGACGTTGGGAATTTAATTGGTGGCAGACCATGGAGGCACATTGAATTGAAATGGCAGGCGGTTTATTTGAATCTATCAGGGAGATTTGAGACCATGTACGTAGTATGTACGTGCATAACAAATCCTCCGTAATTGCACTGGAAACCAAACCACTAAACGTGAACGAGTAACCGGGACTGAGTGGACGAAAAGTAGGCACTCTTACAAATCAGCCATCGAGTTTCCCACCACATTAGATCGATAACGACTCTTGCAAAGGTCACAGACCTTTATCGCTGTCAAGGAGATATAGGGTTGAATGGTGTGCACCGATTCCCCCATAGGCAAGTCCGATATCTGATCACACTGCTACATAGCCGCACGCAGACTTCTCAAGCTTCGCGCTGGGAATCAGCAAGCAGGATGCCTATCGACAAATGCACGACGCCATGCGAAGCCTGGCCGAAGCACAAACAAATTGGGTCTGCAATCTAGCCAATGCGTCATCGCTGCTGTGGCACATGTATCACTCACTTGGCTCGCCCTCTTCATCGGTCAATTGGGCAGGATTCTATGTGGTGGATCGAATGGACCGCCGTCAGTTGATCTTGGGACCATTTCATGGTAAAGTAGCTTGTCAGACCATTACGATTGGAAAAGGGGCATGCGGGAAGGTTGCCGAAGAAGGGAAGACGCTCTTATTGACGGATGTTAAGGAGTTTCCAGAACATATTGCCTGTGACGGGGACAGCAAGAGTGAGATTGTTACTCCAATCAAGGTTGGGACTGAGGTCGGTCGTTCCAGTGTAAATTGGAAATTCCTAGCATTGACTGATTGGATATCCAGGTAGTCGCAGTCATCGACATCGATTGCGCAGACTTGCAAGGATTCGACACCACAGACCAAGACGGGTTGGAGCGACTGGCGGAAATACTTCGTGACTGTTGTGACTGGGAAGACCTGCTTCCTCCAGTGTCGCCGATCGCACCCTATTAGCTATACTTATTAGAATTATGGCGACAACAACTTGGCCCAGGGAAATGGATGCTTCATGTAGGAGTTAGGCTGAGTACTATATAGAGATATTGGGTGTTATTGAGCATCATCCAAGAAGTACTATTTCTTTGAAGGCCGTGGCCTGTTTCTCGATATCAAAATGGTGGTATCAAAACGCTAGCAGAGCACAACATCTCCACTACGGATGAGATGGTGAGATGTAGTATGATTTGTTTAGCCCTCTAGGAGCGCAGTTATCACTGCGTCTTCCATTTAGCCTGCTCTTCTCAGGTCATACTGCTAGTCCGCCAGCAAATCATCAACAACTTCCAGAAGGCTCGTAGCCACCTCCGCTGTCTGGCTGTCGCGCTTGTAGGTCTGACGCTTTGCCTGGGTTCTGATAATGTGAAAAAGGTCTAACAGCTCCGGATTCTCTTTGCACCTTTGAACGCCCTCTTCTTCCCGTAACCCTCTTTTGAGGGCTTCAAGAATCTCTATCGCTTTGCCATTCTGGAAAATAGCTTCAAATTGTTGTGATTGGTGCTCCTCATCTGGGTCTTGCAGGGTAACGGCATCTATCTGCACACGCCCAGGTAGCTTGAAATGGTCAGAATCAATAGGTATCCACCTGCCGAAAAGAGATGTATTGACGTTCAATGCCTTGCCCAAGACAAGACCAGTAGATACAGGCCCATAGATATTCGAGTCCATGCTTGAGTCTTTCTTGTTCGAGTCGGAAACGTCCCCTTCTACCCACATATGACCAAAGGGTACAATCAAACCTTTCCCACACAATGCCTCCAATCCAGGGTAATGTGCTAATGGATATACTCGGTCCCCCTGTAACGCAACTATGCGCTTGATAGCCCACCTCTCTGGATCATGTGGCGTTCGAAAGGCAACCACCATGCCTCGTCGAAGGTCGTAACGCGGCCGGTACAGTTTGAGCAGGATCCTATCGGTACTTCTTGTGATATCATGTACACTTGTGGCACCATCCTCGAAATCTGTGTTGAGGTATGGGCTCATCGAAGGTCCAGTGACTCGAATGATGTCGTAGAAATGGTTGCGGAATACTATCACTGGAGGAACTATGAGTGCAAAGGCAACACCGAGGAGGTATATGAAATTGATGGTATAGCGTATGGGTTGCGGGAGTCGCGCGTGTTGCTTATGGACTTGACGAAGGAAGGATGCCAATGACTGAGAAAGTGAGATGCGGAGTACGGTGAAGCCATAGAGAGGATCAAAGCTGCTAACTTTCTTCTCTGCCACTGGCTTTTCGGCTGAAGGTTTGGCGCGAGCTGTACGACGAGACTCAAGTGTTGTCGGCCGACTGTTCAGAGGCCGCTTGGGCAATAACTTGGACGGTAACTTGGATGTTGGTGAGGGAGGCTTGTTAGTAGGAGGCTTGCTGGAGGAAGCCCGCGTCTGCAGCCGACGTAGTAAGTGGCTTCCACCTCTGGAAAAGGGAGGCATATCAGACGCAGCCAGCCAGTAAGGTCGCAAGGCGCAAAATATGATCTGGTCAGAGCAGATCTGTACGTACTAAATTGGAACGTGCAGGTTTCCCGAAATAGCCAAGGCCGTTATTTTGATTATCTAAGTCGTCCTTTCGTAGGACTGAAACTCCCGTATCCCAAAAGTCTGTCCACCACCCTAATCATTCTCTCCTCATTACCATCCGACCACAAAGTTTGTGAGATAGGCGTGGCGACGGTGGCTGTGGTTAGGGCAGTGAATCCATGATCAGCGCTGCTTGTTTGGCAAGACAATGGCCATTCGAGCAAAAGCGTCGTGCCATTTGAAAGGTTCAGCTCGCCGCAATGCGGATGTGCAACATGGTGCGAATCTGTTGCCGCAGTCCATTTTCCTTAATAACAAAAATTGCGAATGGCAAGAATTGTGAAGAATAGATGCACCTGGCCCTGGGCCTCCGGGCCGTATGTTGCACATAGCCCAGCATTGGTGGCTTAAGCCTAAGGTTTCTCATCTAACTAATCCAGCGGTCAGCTCCAACCCCTTTAATCAGCCGGCCTCTGGGGTTTCTATATCCATATTATGTATTTTTAGTCCCAAGACAACACAACGTCTGAAATGATACCGAGGACAATACAGCTTCTCTGCTATGGTAAGGGGCATAAATGATGTTAATATGATACTAGTTGCAGCTACTTATCATACGACGCCACCTGAATATCTAGAAGCTTCTCTGGCGGGTGGCCATTGATATCGGTCACAACAGTACCGCTAACCTGTCAAAGTTTAGCTGTCTCGTTTAAAGTCAGTCCTGGAGCAAAAATACTAGCCCTAAGCTAACATTACTTCTGCCTGGTATCGTAGTACATCTCAACAAGTCGTCCTCGAAACCGGCCCGCAAGGCAGACATGTTGCAACGGTCAATGCCGCGAGGCTAAGCGGTAATCACGGCGGCAAAGCGTGTGGCACCTGCATGCCACTAATTAAGGGGTCAGTGAATAAGTCAGGGCGGTTGAAGGCTTGCTCGAAATATCATTCCAAGAGCATTTTGCAACGAGTATCACGTCCTGTCTCGCTAATTGCACTGCTCACTGTGAAGTCCGCTGCTCTAGCTTGTATTAGATTCAATAATAGCCGCAGCCCCCAGTTTCTCGAGCAGGCCGAACCATACAAAAGTCCAACAAGGATTGAAGCCTGATGCGCTGTGAATAAGCTATTTACGTGCTTCGAACACATTCTCTGAATGTTGGGTGTAAGAATCTAGGTACCCGATTGATGGCCTGGTGTTCTTACCAGGCAAACACGGCATAGCCGCCCCCACGAAGACCTCCCTTGCAATGTCTATCGAATCTCATTTGAACTCCTAATCTTTTCTTATAAGAAGCTCCTACACCCGACCATCGTTAAAATTGCTCATCGCAATCCAATCTATACCCGGAATAGCTTGTGGGCCAATCCTGTATCTCTCTACTCGTCGTCTCGACTCCTACTCTTCGAATACTAAACATGGGAGACCAAAAATTGGGCGAAGTGCGCCCTGTCGCATTGCAATCGAAAGCCCACGAAGACCTTCTTAACATCATCGATAGTCTTCGATCACAGGGCATAAGTCGCTATATCGATCTTCCCCAACTTATTGTTTGTGGCGATCAATCGTCAGGCAAAAGTTCAGTCCTCGAAGCGGTATCTGGTATCCGCTTTCCTACGAAAGATAACCTGTGCACACGCTTTGCTACTGAGCTTATTCTTCGTCGTGGACCTTCAACAAGTGCAAGCGTTACGATAGTACCTAATGCTGATCGATCGGAATCTGAAAAGGCTAAGCTTCAGAGATTCCAGCATGAAATTAGCGACCTAGACCAATTCGAAAGTCTAGTCGATAGTGCCAAAAGTGTTATGGGTCTTGATGGCGACGCTAGGGCCTTTAGCAATGATATTCTACGAGTTGAAATCTCTGGCCCGAATCAGCCACATCTTACGCTGGTCGATCTTCCAGGTCTTTTCTCAGCTGGAAACAAGACTCAGTCAGACGCGGATGCTCAAGTGGTCAAATCTCTGGTACTTTCGTATATGAAGAAGTCTAGAAGCATCATTCTCGCAGTTGTATCCGCAAAGAATGACTTCGCCAACCAGATTGTTACAAAGTATGCTCGAGACATTGATCCACAAGGGCTAAGAACTCTCGGCATCATCACAAAACCTGATACACTTCCTCCCGGATCTGACAGTGAGAAATCGTTTGTGGAACTCGCGGAGAACAAGGACGTCCATTTCAGGTTAGGGTGGCATGTGCTTAGGAATCGAGACTATGAGACGCGTGACTACACGACAGAGGAGCGCGATCAGATGGAGCGTGACTTCTTCTCAAAGGGCATCTGGACCTCACTTCCATCTAACCATGTCGGAATATAATTTTCGTTGAAGCCGAGGCTAAGCACCCTCCTAAAGGAACAGATTCTCACCGAGCTCCCAAGTCTGATTGAGGACGTTACCAGAGGAATAAAAGACTGCAAAGACATTATAACGAGGCTTGGAGAGTCTAGAGCCACCTTGTCAGACCAGCGGCTACATCTAGTCCGGCTCAGTCAGGAATTCTCACGGCTCGCTAAGTCTGCAACAGACGGCTTCTATGTGGATGAATTCTTTGGAAGTGCGATGCAAGACGTCGGCAAAAGCAAACGACTACGTGCTGTCATACAGAACACCTGCTCAGATTTTTCAGAGGCTATTCGACGCAAAGGTCATGCGAAACAAATTGTTGATGACTCTATGGAGGTTGGCACGCAAACTATGGGCCCCTTTAAAACTCACCGTTCCGATTTTATTGACGAGGTCATGACCTTAATGAGACGTAGCAGAGGACGTGAACTTCCAGGCACGTATAATCCTTTGCTTATTGGCGATCTCTTCTACGAGCAGTCAAAACCCTGGACGGAGCTTGTTGAACAATACACCGGCACAATACTCAACGCGACGAGAACAGCCCTGAATGCTATTCTTGACCACACCTCAGATGAGACCACTGGCCAAGGATTGTTGAGATACATCATCAATCCAAAAATGGACGCCCTGCAGCATGATCTAGAGGCCAAAGTTGACTCAATTCTCGAACCACACAAACGAGGGCATCCTATCACCTACAATCACTACTTTACAGATAATATTCAGAAGGCAAAAGCACAGCATCGCAAAGACAGCCTCATCGAACAACTTGGATCGTTCTTTGGGGTGGATTTCGAGAGAGGTAAAATCAAGGTGAAGGAGCATAGTTTTGATGTGAAGAGCCTTTTGGATCACCTGGCTCAGGGTCCTGAGACAGACATGGATCGGTATGCTTGCTCCGAAGCTATAGACTGCATGCAAGCCTACTACAAGGTTAGTTAACGCCTCTACATGGTCTTTGTTTTCGATGAGGCAATGCAGCCTCTTAGACAATTCAAAGACGCTCGATGGTGCTGATGAGTTCACAGGTTGCAATGAAGACTATTGTGGACGATTTTAGCGTGCTCGCAATCGAAAAGTGTCTGGTTAAACGCTTGCCCGATCTTCTTTCCCCTGAAACCATCGTCGGTCTCGATGATGCCACAATCTCTAGTATTGCAGCGGAAACCGAGGAGTCGAGACTCGAGAGATCTCGTGCTACTGAAAAATTGAAGGTACTGGAATCGACACTCGTAGTTCTACGAAGCCTTGACAGACACCAGCCAACAAGTAAGTAGATTTCCAGCTTAGAGCATGCGCCGGAAGCAGAAGTTAATGCTCCGCAGGGACAAGGCGCCAAGCGGTCAACACCATTTTGACATCCAAGTTACCCGAGGATAACGAGGAGAGTGATTCAAGCGCGGATGAAGATTCGTGGTTGCCATATAGTTCGAGCGAAGAAGATGATTGTCTTGGTGGTCGAAAACAAAAGCTTCCACCAAAGCGTGGAGACGGAAGCAGCGGGTCCTTTGGCACGCCTAAATTCGGAAAGCCGATTGCGTCTGAGAAATCAGCCGAAGCAACGCCCGTTCCAGGAATTTTCTTTGGCATGGCTAAACCCGAGAAAACGATTGCGAGTGAGCGACCAGCCGTGTCTCGAACCGAGAAGTCAGCTGCGACTGAGAAGCCCACTGATGCAGCGCCCGCTTTCACAATCTCTACATATACTAGACCGCCGAACTCCGACACGACCTGGGGCGCACCGGTGTTTGGAAATCCTCCGTCTTCTGCGAATCCGACTTTCAGTTTCGGTAATTCACAGCCTTCCTCTAGTTCCGGGAAGGTCACGCAGAATGAGAAAAAGACAACCAGCCTATTTGGCCAAAAGTTAGCATCATCAAAAGTGTAGCCGCACGTCTACAGGGTGGCGGAATGAGAACGATGTCTGTGTGTCAGCTGTTCTATGGAGAGTTTCCATCACCTCAGTGATTCCCTTGCCATTGCACGCAAGAGCTAATATACCACTTACCATTTGTTTCCACCTTATACTCTGAACTTAGAAACTTGCCACAGGTCTGAGGAGAACGACTTGGAACTCAACCGACTTCCCACTTACTGATCTACAGCCTTTCTTTAACTAAAGGGCTTATCTCTGGCAAATCGGCGGATGAGATGTCCATTGGCGGTAGCCCACCTACCACCTCTACCGGCTTTCAACCTCCTATGTTGGCCAGGGTCACGTATTTCAGTGAGGCTAATCAGGTCGAACGTTTCACGCCCAGTTTCAGATCTTGGCGATGAGGGCAATGCAGTCGAAATATCCAGCTCAATAGCCGGGTGAGTTTTGAGTCTATTCTTTGTATCGCATTGAAGGAGAACTTTGGCAGTGAGGGATTGGGCTTGGCAGAGGCACCTCGATATCGATCGAGTCATGCATACATGGCCTACTTAGTAGAACGACACTGTCATTTTCATTCAACTACAAGAAGCATGTTCTATTCCGACCCCTTCAGTAATTCCTGAATCCCACCCTCTGACGCTGCCGATCAAAGACGACTCCCACTCCCCAGAATGCTGGCTCCCCCAACACCCACACATCCCTCAACCCACTGCCCTCCCAATCTATGTCCTCTCTGCTCTGCAATCCCATCCTCGTCTCCACCACTCTTCCCACACAATACCCCGAACTGGTTCCATTCCCTCCCATACTCAGCTTACCAAGACTCAATCTTCCCCCCCCTGGCCCCCATACAGCCTCATCGTGACCTCCTTGACTCGACATGAGCGGAAAAAACCAGCCACCAAACTCGAGCATGATCTTCGGCCTATTGAGACATGGAAACTTCCAGAACATATCATATGGCACAGCGAGGCGTGAACAACCGCCAATGCTTTCGTAGATCCTCCTTGCGGCCAAAGGTGGAGCCAGTATGAAAGGTGACTGGATATCGAGCAGGACGGGCTGGTTTTTGAGCATCTTGAGTCCGTTGATCCAGAGACCGGGGAGAAGAGTTGTCCACCACCCTTCAGCGGCGCCACGGATGGGTGCCCAGCGGTATTGATCTTCGATGTCTGCTGGGAAGGTGGCGGCGAGCCTGTCGTTGACTTTGCCGCTAATGGTCTCGGTCGTGGCGGCAGGGTCGCCGATCGAGTCCATCTCCACTTGGGTGCGTGTGCTTGCTTCTTCGGCTTGGCGAGCAAGGGTGCCGCCGAGGGACAGGATGCCCGATGTGGAGTCGAGAAGCGTGAGTGAGAAAATGTCGTCGGTCAATAATTCCGCGGACAGGAGTTGCTGGAGGAGGGGAGGAGAGTCTAATCGGGACAGTGAAGATGAAGATGATGATGATGACGGGCTCAGCCCCAATACGCTGCCGGACTTGAAGAGGGTCGCGCGCGAAGATCTGGAGGGGCTGCACATGGGGAGTGAGATGGTGACGGAAGTTGTATTTTTCAAGTCCGTCAGATGGATAGTGTCGGATGGATGTTTGCAGAGCGGGTGCACGCGAGCATCGTTAGGGACTAAGTAAAGATTGTGAGAGGCGTCACAGAATTGGTTTCTCCAGTGTTGCCATACCATGGGTTTCTGAGAAAACGTTGTACTGTGAGCCTTTACCACTGGTGGTTTGGACGGTGTAGAAATCAGGGCTGAGCATATCAAGATCGACCTCGATTGTGTTTGGCTGCGGACCCACCGGGAGGTTGGTATACCTGATTACGCCGAAGCGATTGACATCAGCAGCCGACCAGCACAGCTTGAGCATTTAGAGTCTGCTCACCAGCGGCCCTCTTTACCCGGCTCAGCGAGGAGCTGTTCATCGTTCGTGGCGCCTGTGCTTCTAGCTCTCCAACTCCGTACCAGTTTATTCCCTTTCACTTCTCTTTTCACTCTTGAATATCTCCTCTCGACGTCGTGTAGCAGATCCACCAGTTGCGTCAAGTTAGCAGGTTCACGATCGGCCAATGCTCCACCTCGTCGATGGATGGTGAGATGAGCCGCTGTGATGAGCTGAGTTGCACCCAGAAGACTTAAGTGGCCAAGGATCATGAATAAGGGTAATAGAAACCTGATCACCAAGTGTGACTCCAGACCGGGCATCGCGGAAATATCCCACTTTCATCACAGGCAGTGTTGGAGAATGAAGGGTCAGGTAGTGGAGACAGTGTGGCACGATTGGAGTGTTTTGGTTGAACGGCAGCAAGATGTTTCAGAGCCTTGTGGAGGGCACCGGGTGTGCATAGAATCAGGATTGTCTTTATGGAATCTGCAGCCTGAACGTGTGCTCCTTGTTCTCGTTGCTCAAAGTCCGTCCATACGATTGTCAAAGTACTCCGTCAAGCTTTCCAACTCGGAGAGTTGAAGTGCTCGCTCAACACTGTCCACGAAATGACCTTTTCCACCTACAAGATCAACGATTCCACTCATCTCAAAATCCTTGTATACTTTGCTACGCCGAGTCGGCAAGCGACAGAAGAAGACTCTAACGCCTCTTTTTACATAGGCTTCCACTATCTCCGTGAGCACTTGTGTGCCAGATCCATCGATACTCGTCACGCCATGCACATCAAATATAATGTTTTGGTTGTGTTCTTCTGCTCGAACGCGAGGCAAGGCTGGATGTGCGGCATTAGTGCCGTAATATTCCAGTCGTCGTAGCCTGGTTTTCAACTCGCCGGTATTGGCAAATGTCAATGGTTCGGGTATTTTGCAAATCAAACAACCTTCAATGAATTCAATCCTCTCAGGATCGTCTTCCACGTTTTCGAACTTGTCTGAGGATCCAGGAACCTTGCCTAGAATTTGGATCCGCGGCTTGGTGGAGTGGCGAATTAAGGCCAATATTGAAAGTCCTATACCTAAGGCAATTCCAAGCGATATGGAATAAAATATTGTTGCAAGAAAGATGATAAACATCAGTGACAGCTCGGTCCAGCCCTTTATTTTCCAGAAGAATTTGATGTCATGAGGACATTCTTCGATCAGAGAATAAGCGACCACGGATATCATGGCTGATAGAACTGCTTTAGGTAAGTAGTAGAAGTAGGGTAGGAGGAAGAGTACACAGAACAACGTAATCAAGCTTAGAAAAATGCTGCTCATTGGCGTTGTACCACCGGTAGCGGCATTGACCTTGCTCCGGCCGTATCCGCCAAACGCTGGCAGAGCCATGAAACAGCCTCCGATCAGGTTTGCAACACCTAGCGCCACAAGCTCCCGGTTGGGACTGAGAGAGACGCCCTGAAGCCCATGCGTGCCCTCCCCTAGACTTTTGGCTGCGACTGAGGACTCGAAGAAGCCTAATAAGGCAATCAAGAAGGACGTGCTCATGGCGGTTCGAATATGCTTCATATGTGCGAAGGAGAAGGGCCAATGGAAAGGGAAGGGATTGTTGCCTGTTGATTTGACATGGCCGAGAATTTCGAGGCCCTTCTGATCCAACTCTAGTCTCCATGTAAGAACCGCAGACAGCGCTACGACCAAGAATCGATCGGGCACATACGCCACAGCCGGGTATCGTGGCTGCATACGTCTTTTCATTGCTCTGGGCTGGTGGTCAGAAGACACGGGGAGCAGCAGAGAACGAGTACTGACCGGAACATCATTATGATTAGAAAACTGATCGCAGCAACAGCGAAAGTCAAGCGGTGAACAGAGCCCATATTCGTCACCACAAACACGAGCTTGTTGACACAGCTACCATGAGCCACGCCAACTTGTGCTGCCTTGGCCAAGCCTAGTTCTGGGATGAGTTGGTCTACCAAAATCACAAAACCAATGGCGCTGATGAATCCACGGAGAAATGGTCGGCTGAGAACGCTGTCGAGGAAGCCAAGTCTCGTCAGACCCGCAATAAGGATCACAGCTCCAGCCATGCCAGTAACAACACCTGCAACCTGCGCATTTAGAACGGCATCATTCTCATCCGTGTTGTTCCGGTCAACACTCTCCTTCACAACGGTGCCCACCAGAAGTGAGCCGGCAGCTTCTGGACCGACAACCATCTGCGGGCTGGTGCCCAACATGGCATACACGAGCGGATTGAAGACAAAGGAATAGAGTCCGTTGATCGGAGGAATGTGCCCCAGATTGGAAGCATAAGAGAGAGACATTGGTATATAAAAAGACGCCATCGTCAAAGCCGCCACAAGATCACCCCGGAACCACTTCCATTGGTACTGCCGCACCCAATTGACGAATGGAAAATAGTAAGAGATATACCTGAAATCGTGATCAATATTGTTGAATGCAGTATTAAACAGTAGAAACTTACATTGCACGCTGGTTTTTGACTCCGTGCTTGGTCGCTAACCATTTCGTGGTACTCATGGAAGTATCTCTTCTTGAGCCACCAAACAGGCCTGCTGCAAAAGTATCTCCTGTCAGTCCTCGTGTCCTGTCTCTGGTCTCGCCATCATCGTCATCAATATCGTCTTCATGCCGACCGCCAAAGCCTTTCATGATGCTGACGTTGCTGGACGGGCTATCCAGTGGACGTGCGTGGGGCGAGAAAGTCCCGTGATTGCAATCCTTCGTGCCGCATACCGAACCTTTGTGGTAATCCTCGAGAAGGCGAGTGCGAGCATCTGCTTCTCGTTGCGAGGGCTCTATCAGTCCACCTCTTATTCCTTGCTCGCTTGGACTTGCAATTGGTTCAGGTTCAGCGGAGATGTTCACGCTACCCAACAGAGGCGACGAAAGCGGCGTCAATTTATCTTCATCTTGCTGCGGCGAGGAGGGATCTACCCCAGCTGCAATAGCCCTTCTAAGTCGGCTGGGTGTTGTTGGAGCATGATGTGAAGTTCCTCGAACACCCCCAGGCCGTCGAGGCGAGGGGGGAGGACTCACAGCAGGATTGTGATGGGGAGAAGTGGACATGACGCTGCCATGTATTGGAAGAATAGCTGGCCGAGATGTAAGTTCGGATTTGGAAAGAATGTATAGGATAAGATAATCAGATAGAGGTCCTGCCTTATGCTGATGAAACGAGTGACAACGGAGGATTTGCAGAGTCGGATAAATTTAGGCCTAGTGTCTGCATACATAAGCGTTGAATCCTTGTGACCACTTCAAAAGCATGCCTGCAAGGAGGAAGTTCAAAGGTCGCTCTTGGGGGCGCTGCTGCAAATGTAGTACTACGTAACTAACGTAATACTGAAGAGGCCCGGAGCGGACTGGCGGGCACTTTATGGAGTATGATTGGTAACATATGTCGTTTCCGGTCTCTTTGCTTCACCGCAGAGTATTTTCGCCCACCCACTCACCAAGCAGTCTACGCTATCTTGACTCGGAGTTCTTTCCCAATATCGGTATTGTGGTCGTGATTGATATTACACGTACTCAAGTCGCTTCCTGCTCTTAGGAGCGCTTTGCAGTGCAGTAGCTCATTCGAATCTTTTACGCTGCTTGACGGCGCTCAATCCCAAGCCATGTCGCTCACAAATTGTCGCTTCTATGAGGAGAAGTATCCGGAGATCGAGAGTTTTGTGATGGTGAATGTGAAACAGGTATGGCCTAAGATTACAGGACTCAGGATTTCCCGGCTGAGCATTTTAGATAGCGGAGATGGGCGCATATGTCAAGCTTCTCGAATACGATAACATCGACGGCATGATTCTTCTTTCGGAATTGTCGAGAAGACGTATTCGAAGTATTCAGAAATTGATCCGAATTGGACGCAATGAAGTGGTTGTGGTATTGAGAGTGGACAAGGAAAAAGGTGGGCTGCTGCTGAATAGGTCGATGTGATCATCGGTTGTTGACTTTATGTGGCCAGGCTATATCGACCTGTCAAAACGAAGAGTCTCTGCCGAAGATATCATAAGGTGCGAGGAACGGTACAATAAATCGAAATCAGTGCATAGCATTATGAGACATGTTGCTGAGAAGACCAATACACCAATCGAATCCTTGTACCAAGCCATTGCCTGGCCACTCAACAAGAAATATGGCCACGCCAATGATGCATTCAAACTGAGCATTACAAATCCTTCCGTTTGGGACGAAGTCGAGTTTCCTAACGACGTTGTACGAGACGAACTGAAGAGCTACATCTCCAAGAAATTGACACCACATCCGACCAAAGTCCGCGCCGATGTGGAGGTGACATGCTTCAAATATGATGGCATTGATGCGGTAAAAGACGCGCTGAGAACAGCAGAAGCCAAGAACACCGTAGATACCCAGGTTAAAGTCAAGCTTGTGTCGCCACCACACTACGTCTTGACAAGTCAATGTTTAGACAAGGGCCATGGCATAACGTTACTGGAGGAAGCAATTAAGACTATCAACAGCAACATCCATGGGGCTGGAGGGGCGTGTGTGGTCAAGATGGCTCCTAAGGCAGTGACTGAGCATGATGATGCAGAGCTACAGGCGCTTATGGAGAAGAGAGAACGGGAGAACGCCGAAGTGAGTGGTGATGAGGATTTGAGCGAAAGTGACGAAGGACCTGAGATTGCTTGAGATATCAAATGAGATGGACAGCCTCCTCTCTCTCTCTTCTGCAGCATGGTATCGCATGGGATATGAAGGCGTGGAAAGCATACCTGGAGCCTCGAAGGCTGTCCTGCCCTTTATTGAAAGCAGCTTGACGTGACCAGCGATCAGGTCGACCCTACGACGAAGCGAAAATTGCGTCTGGGACCATTCGCGTGGGACACCTGATGGGACGCTGGAGGAGTCTGAAATCTCCATAGCCAACACCTGTAAAATGTTATCAGGACATAATTTTACAGGAGGAGCCCAGTAGATGTAGAACCTGCAATCCACGAGAACGCTTCCAACGTCTCCAATAATGCTAGTTCATACCACCTTTCTTCTCCGTTCTTAGATGCCATCCAACTCCACGGGGGCATCGATGATTGGATCGCGAAATTGTAGTTGCTGTCAGAGAAGAACCACAGATCTATTTTGGTTTAAACCAAAGCATATGATTGGTGTGGCGTAGGAGTGAACCGTTCCTGCATCTCTGATCGACCAAGAACCAATCAGGGTGCCTTCTGATTTCGTAGCTTGCTCAACCAAAACTCAATGGCAACCTTCACCCACACCTTTGAGCCTCGTCGTCTCTAGAGAGAGCAAAGTTTCCGCTATCGTCACCAAAATGAACGCGCACAGCATATGACAAGCTAATACTGTATGGACAGTCTGTGCCTGCAGGTCGAGATGTGCTGTGATCGAACCATCTGTTTGTACAGCAGTTTCTGCGCTTACTTATTTAGCGGATATCTACTAAGGAATTACTGATCAGAGAAGCGGTGGTGTTCTGATTATCTGGCCATGCTCTCAGGTGCGGGCCATGGCATCATGTATCACCGGTAGAGGTACCATATCTGCATGGATCATAAGATAGGGTTGGATTATGGACCCGCTGGTGCGCCAAAAGCACACACCAAGACATTGACTTGATGTATTTCTTTGGCATGAGGCAAATCGCACGTCAGATCTAAGGAAAAGTTTCTTTCTATTGCCTAGCAAGCTGATTTGCCTCTTAGAGTCTTTGCTATCGTCTTGCTCCACAGAAAAAAAACTCGACGTGCACGGTTCCACACTGCAAGAATGCTATTGTTGTGCTCCACCCATACCTCCCGGCCGCACAGCTTTGGCAGCAAGAATAGATGGCCCGATAGCACGACCTTGATCTTCCCATTATGATACACTCAGCATGCTGGGCATAGCGTTATATCATATCCTGGAACCATTTGCTTACTCGTCATGCTTACTCGCAAAGAAAATTCACTTCTACAACCTGCTTTGTTTTGCGCTTTCAATCTTGTTTACCGGATCCGGCAGTTACTTAACCATCCAAGACAAGTTGTATCATGATCATCTCATTCGTTGAGGTCCTGAGTGCTTTAACTTGAAGATCTAATACAGTTCGAGGTATTATAACCATCTACACACCGTGTTCCTGAGAACTTCTCCTCTGCAGTTTCAGGTCCGTGGATATGGCTTGGTACCTTTGTTGACAAGAAGGGTCGATTAGAGGCAACTCCTATGGTCTGACAAGCACAGACAATAGTACACAAAGAATTTACGCAAGCAATATATCCTAGATTATATTATTGTTGAGGGCTCAGACTGGTCGTAAAGTCTTTCACCGAGGAGGGAACGATATGGCCAAATCACAAGAAGGCAACCAAAACTCAAGAGGAGCGCCTAGCAGGGCAGGCAGTGTTGTGTGCGAGGACCAACGAAGTTCGATGAATCACCGCGTCAAATTCTCGGTCGGAGGCAGTGATAAAGCACAGACGCCTCAAGATCCCCCCAAAAAGCCTTTGCCGCAAATGTGTGTGCCATCTACCTCCCAGCCTTCGAAGTCATATTTTTCAAACTCGATAGACGCCAAGTCTGCCGATGTCGCGAAGACTCCGCTGCTCGCTTCCAGTTCAGACCATTATGGAAAGGTCACTGAAGTTTCACAGCTCTCTGCTAATGAGAGAACCATGCAGCCTGGCAACAAGCTTGGCAGTGCCTCAGCGCCCGTTTCCAGACGTGATTCGCATGAAGATGCCACAGTTACGCTATTGCCAACGAAGGGGACTCATGGCTATCCTGTTCGTGTCGATGAAATACCGCTGGCGGACATGGGGAAGTCAATCGACAGGCGCCCTTATTCTCTATATGATGATTCAACAGACGAGGACGAAGAAGGACCTTCCAAAACTGCTGACAGGAAGAAAACTGTTGTACCGGCCGAAGATAACCACACTGACAACACAAACTGTTTAAGGACAAATGCCGAAGCCCATCGTTTGGTAAGGGCTATGACAAACCGACTAGAGCTCGAGAGGGTATGGGCAAATGACCCCGATCGTGAAGAACTTCGGTCTGGTCACACCACTCCAGCACATGAGCGACATCAACAAGACTACATTCCCAGACCGACCGAGTTCAAGCCCAGTATCCTGTCTATGCTCCTGAAAGTCCACGATCAGCACAGTGCAGGTATAATGATCAACCGCCACTCCGCGAGTGGTCCTTTTCATACTGAACATCATGATGCTAGACCTTGGCGAAGGCGTTCTGGTGCAAAACTGCTCTCATCGTCTCCTTCCACCGCTGCTACACCTGGAGCATCCCCACCCTCGTCTGAAATAAGTACACCTCAGACCTCAGGCAAAAGTACTCCCCGCAGACTGAAATGGTACGATAAACCTTCGGGGTCTGCTTCAACCACTTCTCTGTCAGGTTTGCTAGACGCCTCAATGGTGGCGGGAGCTCCCGCTACCTCGAAAGCAGCCCCAGCGGCACACCAACGCACGGCTTCTCGTCCCCACCTAACCAGGCCTCGGTCTACTGGCATGTTGTCCTCAGCCATGCATAAGCTGACCCCGAAACACGAAAATCCAAACGAAATCCTAATCACGGTTCATATAGCTGAAGTGCTTGCACGCCAGCGGTATCTACTTACATTGTGTCGTGCGCTGATGTTGTATGGAGCTCCAACGCATAGGTTGGAGGAATACATGCGAATGTCTGCACGTGTCCTCCAGATCGAAGGACAATTCCTCTACCTTCCAGGATGCATGATCGTCTCTTTCGACGACAGCGATCTGCATACGACCGAAGTCAAGCTCGTCAAGGTGGATCCTGGGGTCGACCTTGGAAAGTTCCGAGACACCTTTGACATATATAAAGAGGTCGTGCACGATCAGACAGGAGTCGAAGAAGCCATGCAGCGTCTTGATGAAGTCAACAAGCGCCCAGAGAAGTTCAATGTGTGGATTAAGATTTTGATGTATGGACTGGCTTCTGCATTTGTGGGACCTTTCGCGTTCGGTGCACGCCCGATCGACATGCCCATCGCCTTCCTGTTGGGTTGTGTCCTGGGTCTGCTCCAACTGTGGGTAGCGACCAGATCTGAGCTATATTCAAACGTTTTCGAGATCACAGCATCCATCGTCACCTCGTTCGCTGCCCGCGGTATGGGAAGCATTCGTTATAAAGATGGGACATTTGTTTTCTGTTTCTCTGCCCTAGCGCAGAGCAGTATCGCACTTATCTTACCTGGATACATCATCCTTTGTGGTAGTCTCGAACTCCAATCTCGCCACCTCGTCGCAGGATCTGTGCGAATGGTCTACGCCATCATTTATGCCCTTATGCTCGGGTTCGGAATCACCATCGGCACTGCGGTTTATGGCTTAATGGATAAGAACGCAACGTCTGTTGTCGCTTGCCCAGCGCCCAAAAGCTTGGACTGGTGGACCAACAACGTCTACCTGAGTCATTTCCCCTGGGTTCCGCTCTTCACAATGTGCTTGATAGTCATCAGCCAGGCGAAATGGAAGCAAGCACCCATGATGCTTTTCATTGCGTTCGCCGGTTATCAAGTGAATTTTTGGAGTGCAAAGCGATTCGCGAACAATGTCCAGATAGCGAACGCCTTGGGCGCCTTCGCAATTGGTGTTATGGGGAACCTATACTCCCGCATGCGTCACGGCCTTGCAGCAGCAGTGCTACTACCAGCTATATTTGTGCAAGTCCCATCCGGCCTGGCAGCCAGCGGGTCACTAGTAAGTGGTTTGACCTCTGCGGATCAGATCACGGGCAACGCCACAGGCATCTCAGTCATCAATAATGGGACGCAGGGATTTGCGGATGCACAGAAAAACGCGACCACGGCTGAGACTAGTGGAGTGTATTCTGGAACGGTGTTTAACGTGGGTTATGGCATGGTGCAAGTTGCTATTGGGATTAGCGTTGGCTTGTTTCTCAGCGCCTTGGTTGTGTATCCTTTTGGCAAGAAGAGGAGTGGGTTGTTCAGTTTCTGAGAAGAGAGGGAAACAACTAAACCTATATTTTGCAAGTGCACCGATGCTTTGAAATAATATGTGTGCTTCATGTGCTATCTAGCGATGGCGTTGGAGGACATCTACTTTGCATTAAGCTACGCAGCAACAGACCTTGAGTAATTCGGGAAATGCTGCTGGGGAGCCATAGGATAGACTCCTATTGAGAGCTGATTCGAGTGATCTTCATAGCTTAAGGAACAGTGGACAAGGTATTGGTTAAGGTTATTATTGATGCTCAAATACAGAGGTCACTACGCAGTGTTTTGTTAGACTTGGAGACACGCACCCCTGAACCATTAACTATATATTGCCAAGGCTGTATGCAAAATGTTTAGCACAGGGAGCTCGGGCCCAAAATTCGAGCTACATATCTACGACGTCGTCTGATAAAGTGCCGAAATTCGATTGAGGACCGTCTAGCGAAACCCATTTATGCTTTTGCTCATCGCTCTGACTACCTCGCAAACCCCCCTTGTTACGTATTAATTGCATACCTTGGCACTATTGGGCCTCTCCTCTAGAAGATCTCGCACAATGGCCAAAGAAAAAGACCCCACCCTGTCCAAAGAAGAGCGCAAAGCTCTTAAGCGAGCCGAAAAAGAGAAGACAAAGCGCAGCGACTCCAACGGCGTGCACAAACCTAAGGATAGCAAGAAGGAGAAGAAAAAGGAACGGGCTGCTCTTGCGGAGAAAGTGACCAATGCGGTGGAGAGTGGCAAGGCAGTGATAGTGGCAGAGGATGAAGCACAGGTGGCTGTCAAGAGTGGTGTGGAGGAGGATGAAAGTAAGGAGAAGAAGGGGATATCAACGAGGCCGGTGGGGGCGTTGGTGCCGTTTGCGAATCCGCTGGCAGACGAGAAGGTTGCGAAGAAGGTTTTTCGGGGGGTCAAGAAAGGTGTGTGTGTCCGTCGCCCCTGCGTATCCTTCTGAGCGATGTGTTTTGACTCTCTTTTTTCTTCCTTGCCAGCTGCCGCTTCCAAGTCTCTCAAACGTGGCGTCAAGGAGGTCGTCAAAGCGCTCCGAAAGTCCCCGACCGTCCCTTCTTCTCCTCCACCGGGCGTGGTCGTGCTGGCGGCCGATATATCGCCAATGGATGTCATTTCACACATTCCCGTCCTCTGCGAGGACCATAGCATTCCTTACATCTACGTGACCTCAAGGGCGGAGCTGGGAATGGCCGGTCAAACAAAACGGCCGACGAGCGTGGTTATGGTGACGGGGAGTGTGGGGGGAAAGGTGAAGAAGGAGGGTGAGAAGGAAAAGGAAGGGGAGGGAGAGTGGAAGGAGACCTTTGCTGGATTGGTGAAGGTGGTTGAGAGGGAGGGGCGGCATGTCAAGATATGAGGTCAGTTGCTCAGGAAAGAGAGTGACAGACATGTCCATTTCCATAGCATGGCGTTCGAGGAGCTGGGTAAATATGGATTCAACCGGCTACGGAGGCTCACCGACATGGCAATTTGTATCACTGCTTACAGTCGCCACCTAAGCAGGGCTCTTTTCCGCCATAGCAAACGAGGCCATATGTTCCGGCATGAAAAGAAGATGTTAAGATCAATGGCACAGACAGGAGCCGAATCTACCACACCCAACCCACGGAGCACACCAGCTCTCGCATACCCACGCGCTATTACGTCCCAAATTCGGTGACATTGCCATTGCAATTGCATCGAAGGCAGAGCCAGCATTCGGGACCAGAGTTTCAGAATGGTACAGAGCGGGCTGCAGGATCTGAACAAATCTCCCGAGACCGAGAAAGACAAAAGTCATCCCATCTCGCATCCCAACACCAACACATCCTCGTAGCCATCTGAAGCCCAATTACCCTTCATCAAGCAAGCAAGCCCCCAAAAAGAGAAGAAGAAATGAAAGCAAGAAAGCAAGAAGCAAAGAAGCAAAAAAGCAAAAAGCAAAAAAAAAGAAAAAACACTCCGAAACCCAGACTCGAACCCGATACTCTCTACCATCAGATACAAATGTTTAAACCAGAGAACCAAAAACCCTGCTCCCAAGCCTGTAATCCGGGGTGTCCCCGGATAGTCGGCAAGGGTTACATTGGAAAACTCTCCCTTACGACGCAACATGAACAATGTACCGTTGCGCCATACGGACGTTTTTTTGTCTCGGGTAGCTTTCTGCGGGAGGATAATTTATATACCAAATTAAGAGGGGATCATTAAACGCTTGGCTTTTTCTGGCATGGATTATGTGTATGCAGTAATGGGGCAATTCTATTAGGGGTAGCTTGGATAGAAAGGTATGATTGAGTGATACATTCGGTATATTCTGGCGTGTATAGCCGATATGGAGACTCTAGTGGGGATTTTGATCTAGGAGGAAGGTTTTGAATGATAAGTATTGTTATATTTTTTCTTCTGATCCTACAGGTAATATGTGCAATCTGCAAACCCGCAATTCCCCCCTTCCACCAGTCAGTTAATCAACTGGCCTTTCCCCCCCCAATCAGCCTTTCATGTTGATTTCGGTCTCTGCTCCATGCTCCTCGGCCGCCATCCTCCCGGGTTTTGAGTTGTAGTATTCGTTCCTGTCCCCACGCAATCAGCTTCCCACACACACCAGAGCCATGTTGAAGGGAGCATTAAATACTTCTGGATCGCCCAGTCCATCACCGCGTACCCGATCACCATCGGTGCCAGCCAGAACAGAATTTGGTCTTTGGTCCTCCTGGTTGTGTTGAAGATGGCGGCGTGGAAGGCTCCGCCGAGGGGTCGTTGCCGGTTGGGCGAGAGGGTGTACGACGTCACGCCTTTTTGGGGTTGGGAGCCTGGAAGCGCGCGGTGGGTTAGTGATTGGTTTGAAGCGATTGAGGTGCGAAATGATGTAGGAGGGACAAGCTCGATAGTGCTATGAGTTGATGCTCCGGTCGAGGATGTCGCAATTTGGTGAGAGGTTGCATACCGAGGTTGCCCCATGGGCCGAGGAATCTGGTAGTACACCAGTCAGTGACAGGAATATTCCCCATTGCTCAATGATTATCGCAGAGGCCTTGTCCATCTGATCTACACCTTGGGGGGTGTGGGAGGGTGTGTTGGAAGCTTGAGATTCGAGGGGGTTGGACTCACTTTCCATGCTTTGGATCTAAGCCGCCTTCTCGGAGCACTCTGGAGGCTTGTATTCGTACTTGCGGTGAGACACGCATATTGACAGGAATTAGGGAGTTTATTGGAAGCGAGATCGTACGATGGCTCAAGATTGTTCCATGACTTCGTCAAACGGCTACAAGTTTGAGGTCAAGCTTTGAAGGTGATGCCAAGAAATAACTGTAGAGCTTAGAGCCATTAATATGCGCTTACTCCGTAGATGAAGCGTAATCGTAAACCTATTTAGAGTGCATAAAATAATATAGCTAACTAAGTCATCCAGAGCCCAATTGAATCCCGTCATTTCAGATGCTCTTTGTCGAAAAAATCACCATTGGACAAGGGGAGGCGACTTTTTCTCTCACCTAAATATCATTATATCCTCTTCTCTGGCCATCTAAAACGGAACGGCTCCCATTCTACTTGACTGGTCATTCATTCATACGATACTTCCGCGAGAAAGGTTTTCATCCCGATATTTGGTGGGAGAAGAAGATGGTGGTGATGGAAGTGTGAGGTTTTGTCTATGGGACTAAATTAATAAAATCGCATCATGGTAAAAACTCATTGGAGATGTGTCCGAGAGTGCAAGATATACGAAAGTAAAAGAAATGAGAGTGGAAGAACGACGAGGACAATTAACACAAAGAAGGAGAAGAAGAGCGGTGAACAACTCGTCTAACTACTAGATTCCACATAAAGGACCCGGATATGTACTATATTCATTTCCTGCGAGATGGCCCCTCGCGAAAAGAGATTGGCTATGTTATATTGTACCGAACATATAAAAAAACATGTTACATAGTACACGATCGCGACCAGTATCTTTCTTGCCATTCGACTCAACAAATAACTTTCCTCTGCTTCTGGACGCTTGCTGTCATAGGTGAGCTGTCATTGCCGGGTAGAGGAGGAGCTTACAGTGGATTTGTATGACCACTTCTAGTTTAGCTCGGAAGACGAACCTAGGCTATGTCGAGATTGGGGCCCAATCGTCGTCATCGAAGCGGAGCGGCCCCCTTAAAGGGATGGTGACAATGGGACGCGTCCATGAAGCGCTCTTGGCCCGTTTCTGGAAGTGCGGCGGAGGGCTTGAAAGCCGGAGACGCAGAGGGCATTCTGAGCTGAGCTCCTAGTCAGTGCTGTCAGTTGCTTGCATGGCGTGTGCCTGTCAATGTCAAGAACGGATAGTAAGTAGATAGTCGTCTGCCGCCTTACAGGCACCTAGATCATCGACCAACCAACTTACATATCATGTTTTGCTCTGTTTCTTGCTCTCCTCTTCGTTTCTTGTCTGCCAGGCATGCAATGCCGGACAAGTCTATAAATTGACGTAGGAGGGCATGGTGATACTAAACGGCTTGAGTCGGCATTTCTGCTTATGTGATTCGAATATGACGATGAAAGAGTGAGCGTTGAGGCGCTGCACCAGTGGTGCTTCTAGATCAGATCGAGCGGCTGGCGCAACTAGCTCTGCACCGGACATGACCACCGTCGAGCTTTCGAGAGCTGCTTTTGAACGATCTCGTTGCCCACGAACAGGATCGCGTTGTGGTGAGTCTATGAGCGCATCTCCCTCATACTATGCTTTGAGCTACGTGGGTGCTTGCTCCTCGCTGACATACTTTCTTTGTAAGCGCTGATTGCGAGCACTCTCCGCTGAATGGCACTGAGCCGTATATTGTCAGGGATTGCCAATCTGGTCCCGTGGAGGGCTTCTGGTCAGCGCTCTAAAACCGGTCAAGTGAAGCAACCCGCAGTGGAAGATGTGCCGATCCTAGTAGCAGCATAGGATGCGGTCTCGAGCTAGGTGTGTATCGAGCTGCCAGTGGTAGTTGCAGTGGGACTTTCGGTAGATAGCCGTGGTTGAACGACATGATTTGCATCGATTGAGAGGTTGAAAATCTTCTGTTCCATGTCATTAGAAACCGGCGGTGTTTCAGTGCCCGATTTAGGAGAAGACGGCAAGGGCCAATCAGGCTGTATGGAAGGAGGATCTTCTGGTTGGTCAGTAGGTCCATTATTTGTGAATGCCACTGGCGCAGTAGGGAGTTGCGGACTGGACACTGGATTACTGCCAGCATTGGGTAGTGCTTCGGATCCTTGCGCTGTTTGCCATGAGTCAAATCCAGACATCATTTGCGCTTCTGCCTCTGCCGCCTCTCGCAGCTGTTGGAAAACGGATGATTGTGCTCGCAAACTCTCATAATTGTCTGCTGCTTGGGTCGGTTCTGGAGTAGTTTCCGGTGTGATGTCTGCAGAAAGGCTGCGAATGTCGTTGAGTTGTCCGCCAGCAATCGATCCAATGGGTGTAACAAATGGTGAAACAGTATACTCACGGAATCCAGCAGGTGTTATGGCGGGGCTCAGTGGAGTTGGCGCCCACAAACGCTGAGACTGCGATCTTTTTATGTCTGATCCTGCGCGTGGTGATTGGTTTGCCATGTCCAAAGGCGTTTGGGCCCAATTCTGCTGCAGCTGACTGTAGCTTTGCGACGCAGCACGTCCTGGGCCTTTATCACTTGCGCTCGACGTAATTCTGGCCACCTGTCCCCGTTGGTTCAGGAACAGATCATGCTCGGGGGCCATTGGAGAAGGTTTGCTCGCAGGGTTGATTGGAGTAGAATCTAATTCCTGCACGTTTGCTACGGATGGGATGTCGCTTGTGCTGACGGACCTGTGGGCGCGATTGGATAAGGAAGCAGCCCTTCCACCTATGCTAGTGGGCGAAAGGAACTTGTTTTCAATTGGAGAACCACCAAAGCTATGGGGAGAGGAATCGATCTCGAGTGGCATCTTCTCTCTGCTTGGCATCTTCTTGACGAGGAAGATTTTTACTAGAGTATTGGGGAACAGCCCTTTCTGCTGGGTGCGCTGATTTATACCTTCCCATAGCTCGGATTCTACATACTGCGTGATCCAGATCTCGTCCCCAGAGGTAAAACTCATTTCGTTAGGCAAGGACGCTTCAAACGAGCAGACAGCAGAAGCTTTTGCAAGGTAAGGCAACGAGTGGGACTGAAGATTTGTGCTTGGCAGGGAACCATAAGGTACATTGCCTTGCCGCGCGTCTGAGGTATTAGAACCGATGAAGGTGGATGACGAGTTAAGGGAGTCTGGATAATTGCTGTAGGGCCCTGAGGACGCCCCGAAGCCTTTATTGCTGAATTCCTGCTCCATGATCCAGGTGTTGGCCCACGCCCGAGACTGGTCGATAGCCCGCTGTGTGAAAAGCATGAGCAACATCTGGCCTTGTCCTTGGGCACCTTCCAGATTCAACGTTCTTGCTTGCTTTCTAAGAGAGATCCTCTTGATGTATTGTAGCAAGCCTTTCCTCGGCACCTCGTCCATGGATTTCGCCCGATACTGCAGGGCAGCGCTTCCAGGCCATCGTCTAGCTAGTTTCCAGAACACTATCGCGTCGGTGTCGAGATCGAATGAGAAAGCGATGGGAAAGGCGAGGGAGTGATCTCTGGCAAGGAGATCGAGCACATTTTCCTGCGAGCTCGGTAAGCAGACGTAAACTGGTTGATCCGGTTTGAGGAGCATGTGCCTCCAGTCTCGGAAGGCTTGGGAGAAGGCAAATTCAGTCCACTTCTGGGAAAACTGACGGCCATGGTCTTGTACTGGATTGTATGGATCCGGCGTGCTCAAAGACCTTATGCCGTCGCGAGTGTGCTGGGAGAGACGGAGGAAAACCCAGCTATGCTCTGATACGTAGTTTCGCTTGAAGGAAAAGCCGTCTCTCTCGTGAATTGTGCTTTTCGATGGCGGGACCACCAGCTTGATCTCGACTACATATGGTCGATAGGTAGCATCATCATTTGTTAGAGGGAGTTGCTCCCTGGAAAGCTTCGGCCATGGACACTGCGGAAGCTCGTTTCTCTGCCTACCGCTTTGTCTGCCCCCGAGCCGCGATGGCTGCGACTGAGACGTCGGCAGCCGCCTCGGCTTCTCAAGTAGAAGCCATTCTGATCCTGCAGGTCCAAAGGGTTCTGCTGGAACGAGTGCCGGTGTACACTGGTACTGGTGCTCGCGGCGCGACCAAAGGTTGCGGTGCTGGCGATGCTGGCGGTTCGGCTGACCGAGCAGCCTTCCCACGACTCTCAGCAGCCTCCGAGATACTATCACTGGCGATCAAGCCCGATCCAAATAGGTACTCGATCTGCTGGCGAATTACATCGCGGTTGACCGTAACCATCTCTCGGCTGATGCCAGCGACCTGGAGATCCCTGCCAATTGAAGCCCACAGATGATCTTCACCCGTATCCGCATTTGTAAGGGCGGAAACAATGGTTCCCTCTTTCTTAGCAGCGACAGCCTGGATCACCAGCCTCTGCAGATTCAAGAGGAGTTTCGCGGTGGATGACCTGGGCATTCTGTCAGCCACTGCTTCTTGTCACGACACATCCAAACTCAGAGGGAGGCGGTAGCAGCATTACATACCCTGACAAGGACTGATTGAGATTGCTCAGCGCTATCAGCTTGACTGTCAGATCTTGCTTGATCTGCAATTGATCCTGGGCCTGCCAACGCAATCTCTCCCAGGTCAATTGGCGCGGCATATCCATGGCCGAGTACTGGCTGATGACACCTTCGAGCCTGTCTAGCGTCGACTGGCAGCTGGCGGCCACCTCCAGCATGGTCGCCCGCTGCGAAGGGAGGATCCTGCGGTCATCTTCCTTGAGGCGGTCGGCAACCTCCTCGAGATTGATGTGGAGGATCTTGATCTGCTCCGAGACCTCATTGAAGCTGCTGGGAGCATCCTGGTACGACCGATACACCCTGAAGGCGAGTTGGCCCAGGGTTATGAAGTCGCTCACGCTGAAACCAAATGGGGCAGCCATCGCAAGGGCCGCTCACCACCCGCTCAAAGGGATAAAACCGTTGCTGGTACTGTGGTAAATGTCGCTAACAGGACCTAAACCTGGCGAGTCAGCATACTTGGCGAGCCACTTTGTTAGGGTTCCTCATCTCTTCTCTTAGTACTCGGTGCCGCCGAAAAGTGCGTCCTAGCGCCAAATTGAAGCTGTATATCTTTCCTAATCGGGTATAAGTTATAGAGCTAATGGTGGAGAGTGCAGGGATCCATCAGCCAATCAATTGCAGCTATCCTTGAAAATCTTCTGTTCCATGTCATTAGAAACCGGCGGTGTTTCAGTGCCCGATTTAGGAGAAGACGGCAAGGGCCAATCAGGCTGTATGGAAGGAGGATCTTCTGGTTGGTCAGTAGGTCCATTATTTGTGAATGCCACTGGCGCAGTAGGGAGTTGCGGACTGGACACTGGATTACTGCCAGCATTGGGTAGTGCTTCGGATCCTTGCGCTGTTTGCCATGAGTCAAATCCAGACATCATTTGCGCTTCTGCCTCTGCCGCCTCTCGCAGCTGTTGGAAAACGGATGATTGTGCTCGCAAACTCTCATAATTGTCTGCTGCTTGGGTCGGTTCTGGAGTAGTTTCCGGTGTGATGTCTGCAGAAAGGCTGCGAATGTCGTTGAGTTGTCCGCCAGCAATCGATCCAATGGGTGTAACAAATGGTGAAACAGTATACTCACGGAATCCAGCAGGTGTTATGGCGGGGCTCAGTGGAGTTGGCGCCCACAAACGCTGAGACTGCGATCTTTTTATGTCTGATCCTGCGCGTGGTGATTGGTTTGCCATGTCCAAAGGCGTTTGGGCCCAATTCTGCTGCAGCTGACTGTAGCTTTGCGACGCAGCACGTCCTGGGCCTTTATCACTTGCGCTCGACGTAATTCTGGCCACCTGTCCCCGTTGGTTCAGGAACAGATCATGCTCGGGGGCCATTGGAGAAGGTTTGCTCGCAGGGTTGATTGGAGTAGAATCTAATTCCTGCACGTTTGCTACGGATGGGATGTCGCTTGTGCTGACGGACCTGTGGGCGCGATTGGATAAGGAAGCAGCCCTTCCACCTATGCTAGTGGGCGAAAGGAACTTGTTTTCAATTGGAGAACCACCAAAGCTATGGGGAGAGGAATCGATCTCGAGTGGCATCTTCTCTCTGCTTGGCATCTTCTTGACGAGGAAGATTTTTACTAGAGTATTGGGGAACAGCCCTTTCTGCTGGGTGCGCTGATTTATACCTTCCCATAGCTCGGATTCTACATACTGCGTGATCCAGATCTCGTCCCCAGAGGTAAAACTCATTTCGTTAGGCAAGGACGCTTCAAACGAGCAGACAGCAGAAGCTTTTGCAAGGTAAGGCAACGAGTGGGACTGAAGATTTGTGCTTGGCAGGGAACCATAAGGTACATTGCCTTGCCGCGCGTCTGAGGTATTAGAACCGATGAAGGTGGATGACGAGTTAAGGGAGTCTGGATAATTGCTGTAGGGCCCTGAGGACGCCCCGAAGCCTTTATTGCTGAATTCCTGCTCCATGATCCAGGTGTTGGCCCACGCCCGAGACTGGTCGATAGCCCGCTGTGTGAAAAGCATGAGCAACATCTGGCCTTGTCCTTGGGCACCTTCCAGATTCAACGTTCTTGCTTGCTTTCTAAGAGAGATCCTCTTGATGTATTGTAGCAAGCCTTTCCTCGGCACCTCGTCCATGGATTTCGCCCGATACTGCAGGGCAGCGCTTCCAGGCCATCGTCTAGCTAGTTTCCAGAACACTATCGCGTCGGTGTCGAGATCGAATGAGAAAGCGATGGGAAAGGCGAGGGATTAGGAAGGGACGCACTTTTCGGCGGCACCGAGTAGTAAAGGGAAGGGACCACCAAGCTCGATCAGATGAAGTTACCCTGCATTACTAACTACTTACCAGGAGAAGGGGTAATAAAAAATGTGGGCTAAGTGCCGTTAGTGGAAATGGCAACTATTCTGTCAAATAAGGACCATATTAGTATGATCAGAGAGGCATATTTTGACTATAATAGAATCATATTTTTGACAAATGACGTTGTTAAATGATGAAATCTCATTGGATTATAAATACCTTAGCTACATATCCTGGTACATTCTAAGCAATCTTACGGTTAGGCTAACTCTAAGCGCACTTTAGCGGCTCTCTTATCATTTTTCAAAGTGGGCTTCTTTCTACTAAGTACTATGGGAAGAGGCATAATGTTTGTCAATACAGTGCTAGTAATGACTAGTTCTGATATAAGTCCATAGATAGCTAATTGGTTGTCGAAAAGCTTATAAGATCAAGCATGTTGGAAATAGACAGGGCAGAAGCAGTATGTTGCCACGGCGTGGCCAGAGAGATTGTAGATTCTATCTAGAATGGGGGCAGATACTTATGTAGCCGTGGCCCAATGGGTAGAGCCCTTAGAGGGCCCCACTTGCAGGGGGGTCGAATGGGTCCCGAATGCACTTCTCAACAAAGCAGCCATATAAAAGACCATCAACTCTGATTAATCCTTCTTTAGATTAGTACTGCTTAGCCTCGGTTGTTTGATAATCGTTTTAGTCCAAAGATACTAGTGCGGAGGTGACAAACATTATGCCTCCTACCGTAGTAGTAGGTGAGAATAAGAATGATATTACGGAGTAAAGCCGCGGAATTTCGCTAAGCTGTACTCCAAAATTGAAAAACTCGCTCAATCTTAAAGTTGTTAATTTAATGATTTCTCGTTTAGAAAGGCCTTCATAAGGACTATTTACACATATAAAGTAATCTTTATAGCATAAAAGTTAGGAGAGATATTCAAGATTCTTTACTATAACACTAGAATTCTGTTTCTCATAATCATTTTCAAACCTGAGTTCTACATTAGAAATTTGATTACATATTAAGCTGGGTGAAGTCACAAAAGACTTGTGGATTCTGTTAATATAAAAGCGTTGCTTAACGGGACGCGCTGTGCAGCCATAGTCACTCACGTTAAGCAGGGGTTTAGGCAGCAGCTCACCCCAAGGCGCACAATCACCCAGACCAGGTTTTGGTCGGGTGGGGGTAAGGCGGCGCTCAGTCCATGCCCGATCGGGAATGAAGTTGGGGAAGCATTTTTGTGATCTTGGCCTCATTGGGCGAAGCCCTTGAAAATGCAGTTGAAGCTTTAGAAGCTGCGTCAACAACAACCACCAATAACCCATCTACTTCTACGTCCAGCTGTCTCAAATCATGGCGGCTCCACTGAATGCTATCTCGAGGTGGGCAGTCCCTGTCGGTATAGTCTTCGCGCTCGGTCAGGCTGCTATGTACGATGTCCGAGGTGGCACTCGAGCGGTCATCTTCGATCGACTGTCCGGTGTCCAGGAAGCCGTTGTCAATGAAGGCACACATTTCCTCATCCCGTGGTTGCAGAAGAGTATCATATACGATGTCAGGACAAAGCCTCGAAACATCAGCACGACGACTGGAAGCAAGGACTTGCAGATGGTCAGCTTGACTCTAAGGGTGCTTCATCGACCCGAAGTACAGAAATTACCAAAGATCTATCAGGTACGGTGTCTTAGATCTTGTATGAAAGAGAATTTGTATGCTGACCCTTTTCTAGTCACTTGGTCAAGATTACGATGAAAGAGTCCTTCCCTCCATCGGCAATGAAGTCCTGAAAGCAATCGTCGCACAGTTCGACGCCGCAGAGCTCATCACTCAACGAGAGGCTGTGTCGCAACGAATCCGGACCGATCTTATGCGTCGGGCGTCGGAATTTAATATCGCTCTCGAAGACGTCTCCATTACCCATATGACCTTTGGTCGCGAATTCACTCGTGCCGTCGAGCAGAAGCAGATCGCTCAACAAGATGCTGAAAGAGCAAGGTTCATCGTCGAGAAGGCTGAACAGGAAAGGCAGGCCAATGTTATCAGGGCCGAGGGAGAAGCAGAGTCAGCGGATATCATCAGTAAGGCTGTGGCGAAAGCAGGAGATGGCTTGATCCGAATCAGAAGAATCGAAGCTAGTAGGGACATTGCGCAGACGCTTGCAGGGAATCCAAACGTTACCTATCTACCTAACGGAGAAGGGGGAGAAGGTGGTGGAAAGAGCACAGGCTTGCTGCTTGGTCTGAGAAGTTGATTGAGTCACCATACAAGGAAAAAATGGCTTTTAAGACACACATGGCACGGAGTAGGGTTCTCAACGCTCTCGTGTACTTACCAGCGGTTCTACATGAATCATAACATTCTCCTTTCTACAGTATCTTTTGTTGTGCTCGATAAAAGGATTATTCGAACGTTTCGAGAAACTTCTCATAGACGATTGAGACTCTTCAATTAGCACCTCCCCTTGCGCATACCACCGGATTGGATCCAAGCTTCTGTGGCCAGTCTATCCGCTACTTTTCCATCCGGACTTTCCTTTGATTGATTCAGCTAGAAGACAGTCATCTCTGCGATCACCTTGCGCGAAGACTGGGCAGGATCGCGAATCTCATGTTCCTGTCTGATTGCTGCTTTCTCAGGACGCTGGTGCAACGCCACACTAACAGGGGACAGTATCCAATATGTTCTGTATCCATGAACGCCAGACCTTCCTAATCATACAACAAGTACTAAGGGAGCTCAAGTGCTCACCAGGCTCTACTTGAGCTCTTACACCACTTTATTGCCAAGGTACGTTCTCTTGACCCTCCGGTTCCTGTTCGATTCCCTTGCCGTATGTTCTGTTCTTCTTATGTCTTTTTGGCAACAAAGGTGGATCTGGCTAAAGCCGCTCGCTGATATTCCAAATCTGTTCTAACCCATTCTGAGGCGCATCCTTTCCAGACACTCCCCCAAGACATAAAGTTCCACAAGATTTAGCATGGAGGGCGTCCACGCCGTTGAGCTCTCCCTCACCGCCGGTATGACAAAGCTTCATTCCGCTGACCAAAAAAACTCTAGCCAGCCCTCCCTCTCCCTCTTCACCCCACTCCACTCTCCTTCATCAATGAGTTATCCCCCCCCCTTCAGATCCTCCTCCGACAACCACCACAACCCACACCATCAACCCTCCCCCCTTAATCCATTGCCTCTTCCACAACCCAAACTCTCCACGCCGCTACTGCAGTTGTCTGCAGCCATACCCTCACACAGTACAGGGACAGCGATGAATTCGCAAGCTATGTGACTGGATTGTGTGGCGAGCAATAAGCCACCAGGAGAAACCCGGGAGGAGCATTCAAGTGTTGGATATTGGATGTCATTTTTGAGGACAACGAGGGAGGGGCTAGTCAAGGAGTAGGAGTGAGACGTCAAGAATATAGAGAGCATCAGATGAAGTGGAGGAGAGAATGAGAATAAGAGATACGGGAGACATATATTATATAGTAGATGGAGAGAAAGGAGATGAGGGCTTGTACGAAGCGATTGCAAGATGCTTGCGCTTTTTCTGATATAGCCGGCGAGATTGCAGGTTTGTGAACTCTATCGGTTGTTTGCATTGATGCTTTGTACCGGGATCGGGATAAAGGAGGAGGAGAAACGGGTATTTGAGCAGTCTACAGGTCGAGGCCGATATGCTGTCGCGGGATGTGCAACATATGTTTTTTCCTAAGTAGAAGGTGGAAAATGCCGTGTGCCAAAATTGCAGTGATGTGCAACTCGATCAGTGCACGATAGTTCTCCCGGTTTTCGGGTAGGGTGGGATGGGGTTTACGTTCCATAGTCTTCAAGCGGGTTCGCCAAGGAGGCAGAGGTTCGACAATAAGGGACTGGGAAGCATGGAGGTGAATGTGTGATACGACGAGAGAGAGCGGCGCGAGCGCGACTTGTACGTTCGTTGCCACCAGAAGAACTCTGACGCGACAGGCATTCCTGCCGAGTTCTTGAAGCGCCAACCAACGGGGATGAGGTTGAGAATCTGGGGCTTCTTCCGCCATTTTTGCACCTTGGTGAAGAATCGGAACTTGGATCGAAGGCGGAAGAGACCCTTTGATACCAACCCCTTGTCGAGAGGCACAACACAACCCGACCTTTGGAGCGGGAGATGCTACTCACCACTCTTCTCACCGCCAGATGTAAGCCTGAAGGTGAAGGCTTTGCAGCTCGTACTCTGCAGGCTTATTGTGCATTTCCCCCTGGTGATGGTATCAATATATCAGGTTAGTGGGCTGCACCATACAATGGATGGAGATGGAACGTTAGAATGAAAGTGGTTTTCTATGCAGTCACTGCTCTATCCAACGCTTTCGTTCGCTTCTACAGCACTGTCGAGTTGTGATGCAGGCCTCTTCAACGTCTTTGAGACATCCGGTAACTTCTTCACCGGTTCTGCTGGAGGTACCAATTTTGCATCCTGAAACGTCCATCCCTGAAGCCTCATATGCTTCCATTTCTCCCCAACCTTGAATCGTACCAGTTCTCCCGTGGCTATGGCGTCTTCTTTTGAATCGTGGCCTAAAGCACCTCCTGTCTGAATACTACGCTCCAGATACTTACTCGTTAGCATCTTCAAGCCGTAGCGGATGGGTAGGCCTCGTGGATGTGGAAAGAGGAGGACGGTATCGACGATGGTTGGATGAATCATGCGACATGTGTTAAGGTCATTGTCAATTGCATGACCAATTAAAGGCGTTTCGGGAGTCAATAGATCAAAGAGCAACTTGCGAGCTGCCATGGGTGTTTCAACAATACGAAGTGGCTCTCCTGCCAACTCGCCATCTTCCGAGCTTGAATCATCCTGCTCTGGTTTCTCGGCCCCGTATGGCAAAGCTTTCGAGAAGTGCTCCTGGGAGACGCCTGAGAATCTAGTATTGTAGTCAATCACTTCTCCAATGGGTCGAACGAGCATGTCCAGTAATTGTTGATTTTGTGGCCAGGAGACGGCGGTAAGTCGAATCAATTCCATACCAAGTGTAGTATATCCCATCTCGCAGTCAAAGGTGACTGGTCCTCGTGGATGATCCAAGTCCTTCGGCCATGGTGTCTGTTCGAATTGCAGAGCAGATGCCATTCTCTTGACGTCCGAAGTCTTGAAAACGTGGTCACCTGCCTGTGTGCAGCCCTTGCTGCCAATTGCGCCACGGCAGCACAGGTAGTATGATTCCTGTTCACCAACACCCGCTGATGATCTAGGTGGTCTGAATGGTTTTGACCAGTGGTACGTGCAGCCGTTCTCTGTAGAAGTCAAGCGGCCAAAGGTTCTTGATGTATCGTCAGAGTTTCTGCCAGGGAAGACCTGAAATCTGGTGCCACATCGATCACAGCGTTCGAACCCACCTGCCGCAATAACGCCGTCCTCTGCTGTCTTTATTTCTGCAGCTGTTGGAGCAGTAGTCACATAACCGTGAGCCTCGAGTCCTTTGAGGGGTGTGATTATATGGGCTAGGACTGCGATTTCTTGCTGTGCCGTCAAGCCTGTCTCGATGGTCCTCTCTTTGGACGCTGTAGGCTTCTTTGGCGGCAGGTACTTCTTCTCAAATTCTGCCAAAACAGATGATTTCCATTGTTCGAGATTCATCTTCTTGAGTCGCTGAATTCGATGACCAACCACGTTCTTGTAGATCTGAGGGTTCTCTCTGCCCATCTTCTCCTCTTCGTCCAATGCCAGAGTGATAATTTCATTGTCGGAGAGCACTAACTCTCTTCTCGTTCCTTGGTCCCTTAATGCTTCGTCGTTGAGTCTGGTAACTTGCTCATGAATCTTCTTCAAAATAGCTAAGCGGACCGGATGTGGTGCAGGATTGGGATTTAGAAGCCGTGGAGTCAGGCTCTCCTTGGGAAGGGTTGCCAACCTCGCAGCAATTTCCGTGCCATTTCTAGTTGACGGGGTCTTTTGTTCTTGGGCATCACCCAGCTTTCTGCTAGGGTGGCTTAAAGGTGGAGAGACCGTTCTGTCAACCGAGGCCGGAGGACTACGGACCCTTGATGATTTCTGATCTGCCTGTTCGCGAGTCGCAAGCTTGATCTCTGGTTCCGAGTTTCGAGCAGAGGCAGAAGTCTTCAGGGCGGTCGATTGTGTTATGGGTGCCAATTTTGTCTTATCTCTATCACCATCTGTTCCCTGACGAATCGGGGAGAGACGTCGCTTTTTGTGAGGCGGTTCGTCAGGCTCCCTGGCAGATGTAAGATCATGGGGAGCGGGCGTGACTGAAGCATCATCTTCTGCATTTCCCTTGAATCCGGCATGAGAGAAGATGCAACTCAGTAAAGCGCAATTTGTGCCCTGAGGACATCTGACTTCCTTGAAGAGTCCGCTTGATTTGAACATGATTGCATTCCGCCCTACTAATCCTGGCTGCCGATGTCGAAGAAGCCTCGACTCCTTTGAGACATTGTCCTTGTGCAACAACAGAGTTTGTGGTGTGTTACTCGGACAAATGCGTTAGCCCGCGGAACATGATGGTATGAACAGTTGCAAGAGAGTGATGCTGTGCAATATTTTTGTAGCTAGTAGCGATGAAATACGAGTAGCCAGATGCAAATTTAGCAGTCGGCGGCGCTATGTTGCTGTGGTCTTTGTTACAGGTGTTTTTACACAAGCAGCCTCACATCTTGTCAAGCATTAGTTGGGCAAGCTTGACCACAAGTCTACAAAGTCATGGTGAAGGCCATGAAGCAACACAGGTACACTTGGAATTCTGAATCTAGCCTTGCACCTTGTACCTTATCTTATGTGTCACGATGATAGATAATTGTAGTGTCCAGATCTTTAGTGGTGTGATTCATTTGTGCCTGCAAGTTCTATTGGCTCTTTTCCTGCGTAACATTATTTCAAGCACCATTGCTGCTCCAATTGAGCCTCCCAATGTTGATGGTAACAGGTGTTTAGCTGCAATGGAGAATGGACTGAAAGACCGTTATCTGGCTTCTTACATGACATACTTACCAATTAATCTCATCAATCTTTTCCACGGAAGAAAAAATGATCACGATAAATACTAGTAGTCACCCACTCACTCATTCCTCAGACATAGTCCAGTATTTATGTGATCATGCAAGGTTGATGACAGAAAAGAAACTAAACCTCTCACAGCACAATACATGCCAACGTTGTGTTGGTAGAAGTCAAGGTTGCAACTTAAGACCAAAGACGGCCATTAGTCGGAGTTCGGAAAACAAACTCTCCGGGATCCTTGTTGGCGCACCAGCTGACGCACCTTGAACCATGACCATTTGGGTTCATGACTCCGCCGCCAGTATTCTTCCCTTCAGCCTTGCCAGCATCAGCCGTCAGGCGGTATTCTACAACATGGAAGAAGAAACTCGAAGAAACTTCAGCGACGCGTCTCGCAAAGCGGATCATCTCTGTGTCCTGGTTCATGGGTATGTGGCTTGTACCGTCGCAAGACCGTCGCAATGGACGATTCAGTCTAACAGGAAACGCATAGTCTTTGGGGAAATCCTTCACATTTAAATTATGTTGCATCGGCGCTTCGTGAGAAATACGGCGAAGATCAGCTGGTTGTTCTCGCTGTCAAACGCAATGCTGGTAGCTATACCTACGACGGTATTGAGACGGGTGGTGAGCGTGTCGCGAAGGAGATTGAGGAGGCTCTCGATGAGCTTGCTCGGGAGGGATACAACATGAAGAAGTTGAGCATGGTTGGATACTCCTTAGGGGGTCTGGTCGCTCGTTATGCCCTTGGACTGCTGCACTCTCGAGGCTGGTTCAAGAAAATTAGACCTGTCAACTTCACAACATTTGCCTCACCACACCTTGGTGTCCGAACGCCTCTTAGAGGCTACGCCAACCACATTTGGAATGTTCTCGGAGCACGAACATTGTGCATGTCTGGGCGCCAGCTATTCATGATCGATAAGTTCCGAGATACTGGACGGCCATTGTTGAGCGTTCTGGCGGATCCTGATAGCATCTTTATACACGCTCTGAAGAAGTTCGAGAACCGATCACTGTATGCGAATATAGTCAACGATAGATCCGCCGTCTTCTACACTACCGCTATCTCGCGTACTGATCCCTTTACGCAGATGGAAAGTTTAGATCTGAATTTCGTCAAAGGTTATGAGACGGCGGTGCTCGATCCCGATACACCTTTTAGACTGCGGAAAGATCAGCATTTACCGACATTCTATACTCGTCTTGCAGGTGGCAGCCAAACCTTTCTGAAGAATTTACCGGTCTATGTTGCACTCGCGGTTATTTTCCCAATTGCTTTCGTTGTTTTCATGGTCAATTCAAGTATTCAGAGTGTCCGAAGCCGTCGTCGCATCCGTCTCCATGAGGATGAACACAAGATACACGGCTTTGCTAGGTACCGCGTGCCTTTTATTATTCAGGACGTGCAGCAAGCCGTTGAAGATGCATATGAGAACGTCAACGCAGCACAAAGCCAAGAATACTTGCCTGATGGGTCGGAGGAAATGGCAGCAGCAATGGAAAGTCCGCAAGAATCGACGGAGTCTTTGCCCTCATCTCTCGCTGATCACTCAGGCACATCAATGACCTCGGAAAAGTCTGAGAATGCCACTTTGAACGATGGTGGAAAGGACCTTCCACAGAGATCGCCCGAATTTCCCACTCTCGCGTTGACACCGGCACAATTCGCCATGATTAAGTCTCTGGACGACTGTGGCTTTCAGAAATTCCCTGTACTCATATCGAAATCTAATCACAGTCATGCAGCGATCATTGTTCGAATAATCAAGTCAAGCTTCGACGAAGGCAAGATTGTAATCCGTCATTGGTTGAACGAAAACTTCAAGATTTGATTGGGGGTACGAATCCCACTGGTTACAACTGTAAGTATCGTCGTGTATTCTTGCAAGCGAAGGTGTTGTTAGGTCAAGGATGCTTCCATCTTTGTGTAATTCGAATTTGGTATTAGACTTGCTGACTGCTTTCGACTAGAATTTGTTGTCTTGTGTCCTTAGATATGGGCGCGCTTGTTTTGGCATTGCTGTACGGATATTGGTCGTAGAACAATGTGTTTTGCAGGTCTCTCTGTTCCTTGCTATGGCGCTGGCTTATCGTGTTCTATTCTCAGTTCCTTCTGGTCTCATTTCTCGGCTTCTACCGTTGGTTTTATAACGTCTACATTGCATGGAGTCATAGGGTGTTGTTGCCTTGTTCATGTATGGTGGATATAGCGCATCTTCGAAAGCCCTCTTCATCTTGTGGGTGCAAGGACATCTACGATATCATAGCGAAGGCAATATTAACATGAGCCTCGGGTTGGGCCTGTCAGCATGCATTATGAGGCACTGCGCTTGTTTGCAGAAACTGCACATGTATAATAGACTAAACGTAATATCTCTCACAGCGTAATCCGAGACCCGTGAGTGCATGGCTTTATCGGAGGCCCATAATAAGCAAACTCCGTGGACTTGCTATGTCCCTTTCATCCTTTGCTGACTGTAAAGACGGGCGGGTGGAAGATTAGGGAGATTTCACATGTATTTTACAGGAATGAATTACTTAATACTTATGCCCGCGGCCTGCATGATCTGCTCACTGGTCTCTGTGGACCACCCCTGCCTAGAATGAATGTCGGCCAGGTTGCATCATCTTTCGTTCACATAGTACTTCAAATCAAGCACTTTTTCAATGAAGGGTATCTATTGGAGAGCAGAAAGATCAGCGCCGTCCACAATACCCACAGATCGGCCCACAAAGACCCGCCTTACCCGAAGCAATAGGTTCTTGCAGGGGCGCGATGACCAATCAGGTATTGAAAATATGGATCGCCTTGCATGCTTCGCCTTGCTAAGTTGTGGCTCCTCAACTGCCCTCGGTTGCAAGGCGACGTCACTTCATAACGCGCCCAAAGAGGAGACATGGTAGGGAAAGCGATGCAAATCACTCTACTACGCAGACGAGGCCTACCGGATTTCTACTTCCGAAGGTTTAATAGGATTGCAAACGAATTTTGCTGAGCGAAATCGCATTGCTGGCCAAAGGCGCCATCATACTAGCGCGTGGGACCCATCATCATTGCCGTGCAGCTTCCTCCTGTTTTTCCTGGCTAACTAGTCTGTTTCTTTTCGCTTCAGCTGCGTCTGTAGGAGTCTGGACTATGATCAATCGACCGTCAAAGACCCGGTTGCCGGCTTGTCTCTCCACAAATTCAAAGATGCCTTTGCCTTTGACACAGACGGTGTCCTCATCTAAGTGGAGAGGTCATCTCTAAAGCCATCGAGGCCATGAAGTTGAAATCGAAGCTGTTTTCGTGTTCGCTTATATTCGAGATTGGGCGGAAGATCAAACAGATCATCCTTGATCTCTGCATGAGCAAGCATGGGCGCCTGGGGACCAGATCAGAAACCTTGGATGAAGGAGCGCCGGTCTTCTTTTCTCATAATGGCGTGATATGGGCTACCTCTTATGACTTTGTCCGCATCGGCATGGAGGCACTTTGCGCCTCGTTGGAAGTCATGTTCAGAGTCATGACTGGCGAGGAGCTCAGGACCATTGCATTCGGTAAGCCGTAGCTGGGGTCTTTCCAGTTTGTAAGTCGGTTGTTGCAGCAATGGCGCGAGGACACCCATGGAATCAACTCTCCATCCGATACAGTATATTTCGTAGGCGACACTCCAGAATCTGATATTCGCGGGACCAACGACTTTGACGGGTCAGTCGTGGCGGCAGTAACTGGTATTCCATACTCGTCCGGATCGAAGTTATCAAGGAAGGAGCGAAACCTAAGGTCATGCCCAAGATTACAGTCGATAGTGTCTCGACGCTGTCAACATGGCATGCAACGCGAGTCCGCCAAGTCTTTGATAGCTGCGGATGTGCTGGCGCCGCTGACAGAAGGGATCATTCCAGAGGAAGCTGCTGCTGTCGACTAGTTGCTACGGAGTCGTACATCAAAAGTCATCAATACACGCTAAAACTGGAGCGCCGCTAGCACACTCTAGCTGAACTTAGCACAGCGTACTTCGTGCCTGATAGAGATGGAACTCCTGCTGTCACCTCCTAGTAGTCCTCATAACATCCAGAGGTCTCTAGGCCCTCTGGGTCTTCTTTTAGGCTGCTGGGCCTGACTCGCAAACCTTCGTCAGTTAAGCTTCAGGCATCCGGGCCCATTAGCCGCTCCGATATCGTAAATAGAGACTAGGATGACAGTACTACAAAATAGCTCTAGTTAGCGTATCCACCTCTCTGGCGTAAAATGGTCCAATTTATCATTGGCTCACTCAATGCGACTAATGTGGCCTTAAAGCCTTTAAGGTCAAATTTTAGGGATTTCGTTGGTAAAGAGAATAAGCATATATTTCCCGCGCGGTTACCAGCCAATGATAAATTGGACCATTTTACGCCAGAGAGGTGGATATTGATTACTTCAATTGATGTATGACTCTGTATCTGCAGAAGATTGCCGCCAATTAAATCGAGCTTAAGTAAATCTTGGTAAGGATTTCTGGTACTAGCCGAACATGACTACTACGGTACCAAGCCTAATTTCTGTACCCCCCCCTGCTGAAAATGTTAGTATCAGTACAAAACGTACTATGTAGAATTAAGTATAGACGCCTACAAAACAGCCAAAATAAGACTAGTCCCTAAATCAAGTTTCTACATTCCATTGGCATTGTACTGCTTGATATCTCGTCTGCATCAATTGAAGCAGGGTAGTCAAAAGACACAGCATCTTGTAAAGCATTAAATAGCCGCTTGTAGCTCATCCTATCATCAGGCTCATTAGTATCTATGTAGAATTAGTAGAATACGTACAGAGTACGGAGTAGAATGAGTAGATTTTGCAAGATGAGCAAAACGTGTGCAAAATGGTGACAGGGTTATGTGTGTAAAAACCCGTTTGTAATATTTTTTGACCAAGGGGGGGGGGTACCAAAATTAGGCCTGGTACCGTAGTAAACCACCATTCATATTTTCTTTTCTGGGCAGCACCAAGGTCAGCTTCAGTATTGCTGAAGTCGACTGCTCAAAATTCACATCAATGCAAGATAGACACAAGCTTGCGCTCCTGCTTGGTACCGACGGCTACTAGCCTTGTAAAAAACTGGCGGAGATCGTGGTGCTGAGCATGCCATACCTCCCCCATTGCGAGCGTCATTGATTCAAGGATGCGTTCACCGTCCTTCTGTATTGCGCAACTCTTGATTGCTCGCCAGTATCTACGCGCTGCCGAACTTAATGCTGCCAGTATTGCGGCTCCAAGCTCAGCCGTACGTGTCAATGGCTTCGCTTACTTCAGCTCGGGACGACATGCAAGAGTGGCTACAAACACATGGAAGCGCGTTGCAATTTCTGAGAATATCACTCCACAGGCAAAATGCCTCACATGCACGATTCTGGCACCCAACCCATCCAAAGCGGTAGGTCAATGACGCTATCCTACTGTTACTTTTGGCGCTTATACGATTCCATTACCAGGAACCGCTCGAGCTTATTAAGTGTCTGCCAAAGCTTCTGTTCCCTTTCCATCGCTCTCTGCGCAATCTCACTTTCTTCATCACTCCCGATTTTCTCCCGTGGTTTAATGAGAAAGATGACTTCATGCAGAAGGCTCTGGCTCATATGCATCAAGAGTGGTCGGCCTCCATTGACAGCATAAGTGCTGCTTACGAGGGTTACCGACACGTTATTCAGTCTCGTGTGGCGGTTGTAGATAGGATTCCATTTCCTGATGGAAACAGCTCGGGCTGTGCAGGCATATCAGCTGCAATCACTCCGTGGAGTGGCAGGTGGCTGCGGGAGAGTGATCTTCCAGTGGGCTTCAGTTCGAGTGCAAAAGGATCTCCCGCAGTACCGCAATTAAGTCTGAAAGTACCCTTCACTCACAAGAAAGGCGAGATGAAGCATATGAGGATTCTCTTACAGCCAGCGAACACCATTTTTCTTAATGGCCTTCAATCGACGATGTTTGTGGAAAGCTGGGTCTTAGATGACAAGGTAGAAAGCGGGCCAACATTCTCGAGAGACACAGCACGTGAACATGTTAACCGCTTCTCAATGAACCACTTGGCTGAAGCCTCAACATTGACAGTGCCATTGAAAAGACTAACGGAGACGAGAGAGATCTCCATGTGTATGGGCAACATTATCAGCAAGCTTGTCAGTAAGAGTGAAGCAGAGTCTATGTCGGCGTCATTGGAGCTGGAAGAAAAGGTATCAGCATTCATGAGAAGCAATGATGCGACGGGCGGCACGCTGTCTGTGTATGCTCTGATAATCCCTAAAGCATCGGACCACAAACGCTACGAAGAAGGGCCAGTCGTGCCAACTGAGTTCCTTGGCTACCACAAGTCAGTTGAAAGCACTGACACCACAGACGAGAAGCAAGGGGTCCTAGACTCTATAAGGCTTGCGATCTCCAAGGGCGCTCATTTACACAAAGTCACTAGTGGGGGAGGAGGCTGGGGTAAAAAACAAGGGCTTTTGTCATTGGAACCAGCGTTTGACCATCAAGGGTCTGGTTTCAGCTCAACGCAAGCCTTCGAAGATGTCAAGGATAGACTTGATAAAGGTGAACCTATCTGGGGTCAGCATACTCCGGAGATTGCTCGCCCAGGAGATTTGGTTGAGTTCTACGGATTCTTCTTGTCTAACAAGGAAGAAGAAGCGCTAATCCGCAAGGAAAGCCTCAGGACTGCTCTGAAGGTATCTGATCTACAACAATGGTCTGCTCAAGAATGGGCCAAGCAAGAGGTGTCTAGTGTCGTCTGGGGTGTTATACCTCCTCAGGATTCAAATAGTGCAAGCAGCTTTTCTCCATTCGGGAACAATTTGGTCGCTGTCCCTAATCATTTTGGAATGCTCTCCGAGAAAGGCATGGTTCTGCAAAGATTAGACCGCGGGAGCGACAAGCGAGCACTTGGACAGTCTGCAGCTACCAGTGTCCGTATGAGCAGCATTAGTAGGATTGACGTCCCTCACACTTCATTGACTTACTCTATACCTACTAGAGCCGCAGCCCGGAAAGACTCCAAGAAGAAGAAACCGGAACAGGACGCCCCTACATTTACGAGAGTTAGATATACTCTTGGCCAAACAGATGTCACATCTCGAGAAGAAGCGCGCGTACGCCGGGCCAAAAAAGCGCAAATGCCTCGACCTGGCAGGAAGGGCATTGGACGTGTCTTCAAATACATAGCAAATTCGAGTGCAAAATTGACTTAGCCAAAGGGAAATATCATGGGATCCGCATTGTGAGGTAAAGAGGTGCTTGTCTCCGAGCGCGAGGCATAGTTCTGATCGTTGAGAACGATCTGCACCACTTGGTTCACCAGAGGCAGCTCGAATATGGTTTTGCGTGACTGACCCCCTGTAAACGAGGTTACGGGGGGCTTGTTTGTTCGAGAACGTCAACATCCAGCTCCTCCATCACACCAAGGACCACACCAAGGCTTTCCATGAACCCATTGACTGCCACTCGAAGCATTCGATTTGTGGTGGCTTTGTACCGAGTGCGCAAGATAATCAATTGGTCATCAGTACCTTGACCTTCTCCAGCGACACCATTGCTTTGTCCAGAAGCATCGTTGGACCAAGTTAGGGAGAATTCGCGCTTGACCAAAGGTGACAGCTCGTTATCCACCTGAAGAGCCTGAAGAGCCGACGATGCGAGTCGGTGCGTTGGGAGCGGGAGATCGATGACGCTGTAGAGGTTAGATGTGAGGCGTCCCTGGAGATAGTTAACATTACATACAGTGAGCAAGGAAAGTTTGGATCTATGGACGCCATATGTGCAAGCACACCACTGCGGTAAGGTCTTGATCAGCTTCCAGCCGTCTTATGCAGGGGAAGCAAGGCCCCATGCGAGATATCGAACACGAGTATACCGCTGTTGTCTTACATGAATAGAGTGCCAATGCCGCTGCTTGGCTGGCGGTCAATGACAACTGCTGGCACTGCCTATCGTATGCATGAAGACAAACTTGAAGTTGCCGTGTGACAAAGTATGTAAGCGGGGTGATGCCGTGGAACCTGTGAACCCAATCCTGCGTCCTCCGTCAATTCGTCAATCCCGCTCCGGCATGTCCGGCATGTCCGTGCGTTGAAACAATTGAGATCCGGCCACTAACGCCGCTAACCAAACATAGCTTCGTGGTTGCTATGAGTGACAATCACTATTCCACAAATGGAAGCAACAAACATGGCTCCTCCTTCGACTGCATCTCATCATTGCTTCTGAAACTCCACATCTGCTGGTGACATGCACAAGAACAGTTGACCCCAGTCTTTGGTATCTGTTGCCCTTATCCTATTGTTACAATAGCGATTACTATCCAAACCCCAGCGGATCCCGTTCACTTTCACAGCTTAGCCATTGAACAAATCAGCATGGGTTGCGCACAGTAGCATTTGCGAATCAATTGATCGCATCACAGTTTCTTTATCAGAATTTGCGAAACCAAGCTTCCGTTCCGGGTACAAGGGCTGAATTTCAACATCCTCCTCAACCAATTGTGGAAAGCGCCAACATCGTCGCGCACAGCAGCTCTTGCCTCCAGTGAGCGATGGGGCCTCATTCTGTCAACTATGGGCAGGTGATTGAGTATATCCAAGGTCAGTCGATACGGAGGATACAGGTTAATGGAGGCTTCTGCAGTGGCCCAGGAGACTTCGAGAGCACAACTGACCTCCATTTCCTACAGATCGACTCTATCTAGCATCCTACACCCATGCTCCCAACGAAAACACCCCTTTCCCATACCCAACCGAGACAAGAAAGTCGCCGAGCAAGAAATCATCGAAATCACAACATGGACCTATCCCTGTATCACGATCAAGAGTCCCCCCAGTCTACTTCACCATAGATGACACTCTTCTCTACAACGCCTTCCATGCCGATTTCGGCCCACTACACATTGGCCACCTCTATCGATTCGCTGTCCAGTTTCATGAGATACTTGGCGACCCAGCAAACAATGATCGCGCTGTTTGTTTCTGGAGCAGAGCAGACTCGAGAAGCAGAGCCAATGCCGCGTGTCTGGTTGCTTGTTACATGGTGTTGATTCAATCATGGCCACCACATCTCGCTCTCGCACCAATTGCGCAGGCCGACCCTCCGTATATGCCATTCCGAGACGCTGGGTACAGCCAGGCAGATTATGTATTGAACATTCAAGACATTGTCTATGGTGTCTGGAAAGCCAAGGAGGAGAATCTGCTTGGACTAAAAGACTTCAATCTTGAAGAGTAGGCAAAAACATTCTTCGCTTTTTTGGTCTCTACTAACTGCTCTGAAGGTACGAGAAGTATGAGCGTGTAGACATGGGCGACTTCAATTGGGTGTCACCACAATTTCTTGCCTTTGCTTCTCCTCAATCTGATATCACCACTCCTATACCTGTCACTTCACCGCAATACGCCAGCCTTCCCACTTGTATACCGGACATCTTCACCGCAAACATTCCAAATCCCTTCAAGAATGTCCTCAGCCATTTCGTATCGCGCAACATCGGCCTGGTCGTACGGCTGAACTCTCCTCTCTACTGCCCAACCTACTTCACCGCCCTAGGGATAAACCATATCGACATGATCTTCGACGATGGGACCTGTCCTCCCCTCCCTCTCGTGCTAAAATTCATTCGTCTGGCCCACGACATGATCAGACGAAACAAAGGCATCGCAGTGCACTGTAAGGCCGGGCTAGGCCGAACCGGCTGCCTCATTGGCGCATACCTCATCTACCGCCACGGCTTTACCGCCAACGAAGTCATCGCGTTCATGCGCTTCATGCGTCCCGGCATGGTCGTCGGTCCGCAACAACACTGGCTGCACCTCAACCAAGGACAATTCCGGGAATGGTATCTTGAAGACCAATTCAAGGCCAAGCACGAAGCTGCTGCCAAAGCCACCACGCCAAGGAAAGCGAGCATGAAGACCCCTCGACGGCTGGCATCGAATGGACAGATCGCTACACCACCGCCAAATGGCTCGCAATCTGCGAATAATAGACAAGCTTCGCGGTCTGCGCTCGGCGAAATAGACGGGAACGATGTAAGCAACACTGCTACCGCGGCAACCACATCGTACCAAGATGAAAATCTTCCCGCGCCAACGCCTGGCCAGCCAAGGAAATATGCCCGTCTGGGAACGGAGACAAGACATCATCCTTATGCTCGATCTGCCAGTGCCGGATTCACGCTAGCGGAAGACAAGGAAGAGATGCAGCAGCCCGGGACGGGAATGGAAACGGAGATCGTGTCCATGAAGACGCATCGGACGAGTGAGTGTGGGAATGGAGAATGTGAGAGTGAGGAGGAGTATACGCTTAGGATGCTGGCGCATAAGAGATCTATGTCCCGGAGTCCTGTCGCCGGTGCCGGGGTTGGAGCCGGGAGAAATCGAAGTGCGAGCGGGAAGGGAACCGGGAAGGCGAGCGGGGGGAAAGGCAGGAGTGTCTCGTACACGACCACGACGACCACACTAACCAAGTCTTATGATGTTGGTGACAGCATCTTTGACGAGGCTGGTGCTGGAGTGGATGAGAAGGCAATGGGTATGGACACGGCGATATGGGATGAGGTTGCTAAGGCGGAGGAGAGGAGCCCGACTCGATCAAGGACGATGCAGAAATCGGGAAGTGGCAGTAGTGCGGGTAGCGCCGGCAGTGGAATGATTGGGGTGCAGAAGACGAGGAGCAACACGGTGGCGGCGAGCAGTAGCCCGAGACGGTCGGGTGGAGAAGAGAAATACCGCGTCAGGAAGACGAGTGGCAGGATTGCCAGTGCCAGTGCCAGCACCAGTACCAGTGCGGGTCTGGGGATCAAGAGATGATGCCTGCCTGCCTGCCTGCCTGCCTGCCTGCCTGCCTGCCTGCCTGCCTGCCTGCCTGCCTGCCTGCCTGCCTGCCTGCCTGCCTGACTGACTGACTGACTGGGTTGGCTGTGCTTTTTCTTCGTGGGGGTCTGAAACCTGCAAGAAAGGCGAAGGTGAATCAATGTGTGTACGGATGGATCGATGTATGTGTACATGTTTTTGGTTTTTTTCGTTCTGTTCCATGAATGAAGGCGTTCGCATCGCACACGGAGGGACGGGTCATAGGGGCACACTGGGTATGCAGAGTCGGAGTACTGGAAGTGGCTAGCTATGTTTTTGTCGTCAATTGCCTTTTTGTGATTGTGTTGCGTTACTATAGCTTCTACTGTTTCTTCAGTGCTATGCTTCCACCTGGCTCCGTGACTGGCTGACTGACTGACTGACTGACTGACTGACGGGTTTCACTGCTAGTAGTTCATGTGTCTTGGGTTAGTGGTTACGATTCAAGCGCTATACATACAGATTTTTCTACGTCAGTTACCCAAAAGTTTTCCACTTGTGTCGTGAGGTCTCGCCCTCGTCCCCGTCCTCGTCCTTGCGTCCGCTTGCTTGCATGTCTGCTTTTGAGCCCTTTTCAGGATGATATGATGAGATGGGGGTGGGCACTGGCTATAAGTCAGGTTCCTCAGTACATAACGTCATTGAGTCCATGAGTAAGTGGGTGGGCTGGAGTTGAGATGGGTGGAGTAGAGTTGGGGTTGGTTTTCTTTTTCTTTTTCTTCATATGTGGATTTATTTAATTGATTGGGAAGAAAGATCATGGATGAGGGGAGGATGGAACGGAAGTGTCTCGTTTAGTCGTGGGAGATGATCCGGCTGGATCCGGGGGGAAGGGCGAGGTGGTGCTTTTACCTATCTGGTGGAATGAGTGCTGTGCGTAACTGCTAATGAAAAGGTGGGTCTCTTGTGAGTTATACTAGACTGCTATGACAAGGAGAGATGAGATGGAGATGTTGATGATGGTGTATTAATCCATTGTACTCAGCTACGTTAGTCATGTGATGTGATGTGGACATATCAGGGAAATTGAGGAGCTGTACCGACCCTGATTACTTTGGTTTGCAGGCTAATATCGATATTGATTTCTGGCATTGAATTCAGGCCATCAGTGTATAGACAGGAGATTGCAGCGGGGTTAGAGGGCAAAAGGGTATTCATGTACGTGTAACATCCAGCCGCTGGAGGAAACCTGGTATGCAAATAGTGGCTGGGTAGGACAAGATAGATAGAGAGCTATGAAGACGATCTGTGAACGCACCTTATTGCGATATTAGCAGCATGTGACGGCAGCAGATCTTACCTCGTATGGGAAGTGAAAGACAAAGGGGACTTTTCAATAAGGAGAGTCTGGCTTGAAGAAGGAAAAGGGAAAGGGAGAGGAAGAGGAAGAAAAAGAGCAGAAGCATGGCGAGAAATCAGGGAAAATTATGAACTTGACAGCGGGAGGTTAATTGGTGGGATAGGAGAAGAATTCTCGCAGACAAAATGCGGCGGCTGCCAGGTCTTGGAAGGATACTGATGAGAACCGTCTTTTATATTACCATATTGGGCAATAGTCAACGGGCAATGAGCGATCGCATGATGGTCAAGAATTCCCACGGGAGGTGGGCATATGGGCTCATGTCTGCAGAGTTGTGTCCCGAAATGAGGGCGCAGGATCAATGCGATTTTCGTGATTTAGAGTCATCCTAGTCATGAAGCCATCGTCAAGGTCATCATTCCACACATCGTTGCAGAGACTATTTAGCGGTGTGAGGTGGATTGAGAAGTGTTCGTATCCATCCATGTGAGCAGCCCACCGGCCCTTCTGGAAAAACTGGTTGATACATTTTGCTGGGATCGCAGTAGCTCCATATCTCGAGTTTCGGTACTGAATGCTCCCTGGATTGCCGGAATCTAGCGTGAAAGGAGAACATGCATAACCAAGCCATTTTGGTGGTGTGGTATCCTCTGCCTCGATAGGTCGGAGTTCGCATCCAAAAAACCAATTTTCCCAGGACTGGCCGAGTTCCATTTGCACTTCGCTGGGGGAAAAGATAGCTTCCTCGTCCTCACGTACTAATTCAGGATCCTCAAGGAAATCGTCCCAGCATCTGCAAATCCATGCTACATGTGCGAGCTCATGTACAAGGGTAGTTGCCAGCTGAAAGTTGTAATAGCGTCGGGTCTGCGCCGAACATTTGTTCCATTGAGGCTGGCAGATGACTTTGCCGAGTGATAAGCCAATACCTACCGCATATCGATTGCGCTCATTAAGCTGTGTTCGGGTTTCGCCCCATGCGTTGTCGAGTGAGGTGTGGCTGGAGAGATATATGAGGGATTTTTCTGCGACATGTTCAGCAAATCTGTTGAGTTGTGCTGCAATCTCTTGCTTGGAAAAGTGAGGCTTACCAATCACGTCTACCCATCGATATCTCCACTGATCGACTTCGCCCAATGGGTGAAGCCTTCTGACTCGACGAGGCTGCAATGTCCCATACAAGACTTGGGAAAAGAAAGGGGCAGATTGTTGGAGAAGGAGTGAAGCGAGTCGTAGGCCTGGTTCTATTCGCTGATAGATCTTCGGCTCAAGAGGGAGAGTGTAACGATCCCATAGGGCGTGATTTTTCCTCAACAATCTCGCCTCATCCGCAATGTCTGCGACCCGGAAGTTTTCTCGTCTCCAGATCGGATGAATGTCGTTGTCAAGATTGCAAATGCCCTCGTAACCTGGCTCACCCACCACGAGGTTGGCTTCAAGGTCTTCTTGATGGTGTGCGTATTGCATCTTCAGATCATGAAACGAACAGCATTATAGGCCGCGAGCGACTTCAGCAGAGAATAGCAGGACTGATATGGTTCAAGTGCGAAAGACTGGGTACTGAGAATGTATATGGCGGAACAAACAATGCCCAAGTGCAACAAAGCTTCACGACACGATTGTATTATCACAAAGAACAAGAGACAAAGCTTTATCTGGAAGCTCTATCTACCACATCCAAGAACATGAGGAACAAGACCAATGAAGCACTTCATCGTAATAGCAAGATTGCAGGTATCAAGATCCGCCCCCATTGTTCGACATGTAGACTTCTGCATGACACAAACAGAATTGTCAAGGTGAGCTTGGGACATCAAGCAAAAGACATCCCAGTGAATGAAACGCTGCCAGAATGCGAATAATGGAGAGTATCGAAGCCGTGATGATGGACGTACAGAACACAAGAAAACATGGCCATTGGTGGGAACAAAGCCGAGTTCTTGAGGCATGTTGGATGAAGTCCAAGCAGGGTCGACACTAAGCCCGAAGAGGTCGGGCCCAATATCTTGGCAAGGAGAGGAAAAAGCTTGAAGCTGGGAGCTGGAGCTTGGAGCTTGGAGCTGTGGGAGCTGGGGCCGGGATTTTAACCGACCATCTATTGACGACATTTCGGTACCGATGTTTCTGATTGGGCGCATAGGTGGTACCCAAGTACCTGCGCCTGCTGTCGAAAACCGTTGTCTGTTTCATGCCTCCATGCCCATGTTCAGAGGTGTACTCGCATTGGCGGAGATGCCGCTGAGCCGCGGAGATGATGCCACTGTCGTCGCCCTCCTTCATGAGGCCATGACACATACTTACCCAATGTAATACCACCCTCCATGGCCCCCCGCATACTGCATACCACATACACGTTCTTTGAGTCACTCATCTGCGAGTTAGATTTGATGGGACTCAGTCCCGTTTCTCGGTAATGTCATGCCAAAGAGCAGGCTTCCGGCCGGCCGCGCTGTCAGATGTTTCAGTGGTTAGTTTGGTGTTGGTGGAAGAAGCTACATATATTACGCTTGCCGTTTCCTTGTATCGCCATGATGCTTCTCATTTTTGTTTCTCAGGGGCTGAGAGTGGTCACGATTCACGATGACAATCACGTCTCCCAGCAATTGGCGAACAAATGTCGCTAATTTCTCACCGTCGTATGTGGACCCTCTCTTTCCAAAGGGAGCTGCTGACAAGGTCCAGCTGGTTCACGGCCACAATGGGCACGGGAATCACTTCAATGCTCCTCCACGATCTTCCCTACAATGCCATTTGGCTCTACTGGCTTTCGATAGTTGTGTTCACCTTCAACGTCGTCCTCTTCGTATCCTTTCTAGCTCTTTCGCTTGCTCGATATATCTGCTGGACGGGTACTTGGACAAATACTGTTCATCATCCTGAGCAAAGTCTTTTCCTTGGTGCTGTTCCTATGTCACTTGGGACCATTGTATGCATGATCTGTTACGTATGCGGGGAGGCTTGGGGGATGCCGGCACGATATCTAGCCATCGCACTCTGGGTGATACAGGTCGTTCTTTCGGTCCTGTGCGCCTTGATCCTGCCCTTTCTTCTGATTAGCAGGGACCATGAGATCGACCTGCCTATGCTGACAGCGCGCCATTTGTTTCCCGCCTTGTCTTGCGTGGTAGCGAGTGCCTCAGTCAGTGTCGTGGCGAGTGTCCTTCTTAACGCACAGCATGCCCTTTGGACAGTGCTGGTCAGCTACATCCTGTGGGGTATTGGCGTTTCGATGGCGATGGCGATCTTGGTGGTCTACTGTCATCGCCTTGTTGTCCACAAGCTGCCACGCCCAGAGCTCATCGTCAGCGTGTTCATACCGATAGGTCAGCTTCATTATCATCAGCCAATGTTTGTGGCCACTGACAATCAAATACAGGCCCATTGGGCCAAGGTGGCTTTGCGATTCTGAATCTGGGTAGTCTGGCCACTTCGATTCTTCCACAGACGAGCACCCTGCATGACTCCACGGGGAATTTCTTATGTGACGCTGGGTTTTTCATTGCACTACTCTTCTGGTCCCAGGGTTTATTGTGGACTTTCCTCGCAATTGCTTCAACCTATCATTCCAGAAAGGGCTTTCCCTTCAACCTAGGATGGTGGGTACGTATAAACTGGTAGACCCTCCTGCTAGTTCGTGGTTAACTTCTCCTCTAGGCTTTCGTCTTTCCATTGGGTACTTTGGCACTTTGCAGTAATGCACTTGGCAAAGAACTGCCTTCTCAATTCTTCAAGGTGTCGGGGATGGTGCGAGACGGCCATTCCCTCTCCTCTTTCATTGATCCTAACTCTAGCTCTAGATCATTTCAGTCCTCGTCTTCGTCCTCTACGTCATAGTCACAGTTGGTACGCTTCGTGGATTGATTTCTGGAATCTTATTACATTCCTCTTGCTCCCCGCGCCTCGAAAAGCGACAACACCAAAGCAGAGGCAGCATACTTCCTGTCCACATACAGCTGGAGAACACCAGCACAGCGTCCCCCTGACCTTTCCCTTGGCAAATCTTGGTAGCCGCCCGACCTTCGAAACTTTAAACTCTGCCCCTCGATTTTTGTGTCATCCAAATCAATCCAAGCTCACGACTGTGGTCTAGTTACTTCAAAGAAATCACGCAGTAGCTGTATTGCAGGAACGGAGAAGCAACGTTTCAAGAAGCACACCGGCCATGTCGAATACTAGGCCTACCAGGACCGTCAGGTTGCTCATCATCAATCCGAACTCCTCTTCATCAATGACCGATGCTTTGAGACCCATGGTCCATAGTCTGGGATATCCTAATGTTAGTAGAGCATGTTGATCAGACGATCAGACGGCCCGTTAATCGCACGTTCAAGGTCGAATATTCCTTCTTCACGTCGCCAACCCCTGGTGTCCCCTCGATCAATTCACCAGCCGACGCCGCGAAATCGGCTGAAGTTTGTCTGCCACATATCCTACCCTTGATCCCAAACCATGATGCTTTCCTGGTTGCATGCTATTCACAACATCCGCTGGTGGCCATGCTGCGGTCAGAATGCACTAAGTTTCCATCGGGTGCAACAGGAGGGGAACAGGGTGCCGGAAAATATGTGAATGGAATTTTCGAGGCCAGTGTCACGACCAGTTTGTCCTTGATCCTGGAAGAGCAGAGCTTCGGCATCGTCAGCACCGGAAAGGTCTGGGAGAAAGCTCTCACTCAAGCCGTTCATGAATTCGTCGGTACTGGAGAAAGCGGGTCTGACAAGTACATTGGATGCGAGACAACAGGATTGAATGCTACAGAGCTGCATGACTTACCTTCGGATGAGGTCCGGGCTAAGATGATAGCAGCTACAAAGCGATTGCTGCACAGGGGAGAGCAGGGTGAAGCAAGGGCTGTCCAGGCTATATGCCTCGGCTGCGCCGGTATGGTCGGTCTTGATGAAGCTGTTCGGCAAGCATGTATCGAGGTGCTTGGGGACGAGAGAGGTAGACGTGTCAGTATCGTAGATGGAGTCAAAGCAGGGGTGGGCAGCCTTGTAACCCTTGTGGTTGGTGGCTTCTGATGCGTGATAAATTGCTTGGCTCGATGTTATCACAACTTTTTCTTGGTCAAAGCCTCAGAGCCGTAGTTACTAACAGCCCGCCGTACTTAACTTCGACCATCTCGGTGGTGCAGACCTGCCATCAATAGCTTTGCCAACGATTGGAGCGGCAGATGCTCAGGCAAAGATAGGGCAGCAAATAGAGCATACTAGCATCCAGGTGACCACCATTACCACTTAATGCGGCTGGCCGATACAGCCGCTGCTACCCCCTAAGACGTGGCGGCGGCCATCCATGGATCAAATGGAGGGACAAGTTTACCGTCAACTCTTATTTCGAAACAGAGCACGCCCTTATACTGAGAGCTTCCATTTTTCTTTTACAGCTTCTCACCGCCAGTATAACGGCGTAGTAGCCTTCGAAACCAGCCAGGCCCGATCCAGCGCCTGGACCACCTCCTCCGGCAATGGGCCCTTCTCCAAATCGCTCAGATTCCCCTCCAGCTGCGCCAAACTACTCACTCCAATAATCACCCCGTCCCCACCATCCTTGATCTTCAACTGACTATGATGCACACACCACCTCAGTGCGATCTCCAACAACGTGAGATCGTGGTTCTTGGCCACCGGCTCGATCAGCGCCAAACACTCGAAGACCTCGGGCTTGAAGTAGCGGTCGCGGTACATGGAGCCGATGGCGGTGGCGGTGTTGCTGTAGCGGCCCTGAGAGGGGAGGGAGGTGTGGGAGATGTTGTTGTATTTTCCCGAAAAGATGCCACCGGCGAGCGGGTTGTAGATTACGATCGAGAGGGAGAATTTGCGGCAGCAGGGAATCAACTCGGTTTCGATGGAGCGGGCTGTGTTTCACAATGCATCATGTGTTAGATCATGTCGCTTGGAGGACAGGTGACCAGATGAATGAATGCCGTGACACATACTGATGGCGTTATACATGGCCTGGTAGACGGTGGGTTGGACCCAACCGTTCTTGCGACATGTGATTACTATCTCGGCGACCTCCCACGCTGCATAGTTGCTCAATCCCAGCTCGACGAATTTGCCTTCTTTGTGCAGCTCGTTGCACGCTTCTAGCGACTCCTCGAAGGGGACGCTCCGATCCGGGGCATGGAGATAGAAGATGTCGACACAGTCCGTTCCCAGCTCACTCAGGCTTTTGTAACAAAATCCTTTCAGCTGGTCTCGCCTGTGCATTCCTGGCTCGGTTGGATAACATTTCGTGGCCAACTTTAGACCTCGTTCTTTCCATCTCGCTTCTCGCGTGAAGGCTTCCTGTTGGCCGCCGATGTAGGTCCGCGCTGTATCTACTTCGTCGTAGCCCTGAGATTGGAAATAGTCGAGGCATTTGTTGTATTCGGATAGTGAGGTGATGCGGGCGCCAGCAGATTCGTCGGGGCCGAAAGTCATAAGACCGAGGATGACGCGGTTCTTGGGATTCAGGGCGAGGAGAGGCATTTTGGTGGTTGAACTTGTGGTGATCGGGTGGGTGTGGCTAGGTGTTTGAGAATAGCCAGCGGCGAGGTGTCGTGGTGATTATATGCGAGGTGGTGAGAAGTTCCTGGTGCTTCAAGTAGACAACTGGGAGCAGAAACTGTTTTGCTGAGGAACGTAGAAGAGAACCTCTGAGAGACGCATCTAGAGACCGACTCACGACTGAGTGGAGTACTAGTGGTACTGGCTACCTGTGGGAGCACGAGAGGTTAAATTGCAATCAAATCGTGTCATGTACACAGCCTGTCCATCCCGAGTGTGCTCGATAGGCGACTTCTGCCCCAGTCAGTACAGACTTGCCTGCCCACGTCAAACACAAGATATACTACGTTATTGAGCTCTAGCTGTATGGAAGACTAGAAGCCTGTCCTTGTGTTCTGCGGGGCTGCTGCAAACCCCCTCACAGGGCGCAGCTAAACAGGGGACTCCCCTACGCTTTCGGGCGTATTGACCCCGGCTTGAGGCCTGGTGAAACGGTTGAATGCCGCCCTTAGTATGATGTTTGCCGGCAAATTGGCTGGTATGTAATGACACGTAATATTGCTCCCTGTCTACTTCATCAATTTTGTCGAGCTGTCATGCCGTGAACGACACCACCAGGCACAATCAGGCCCTGTCATAAACAACCTTGGACTTTCGGTTCAAGCCTTTACATCGATAATCTTATGCGCCAATAGAGGCCTCACTTAACTAACACAGTGCCGAAAATCAGTTGTGACTTCATCTTTGCACAGACTCGTGGTATCAGCTGAGCAGATCGCAACTGTAATCCAACGTACAGCCACCGTGCTCCTGACCTGGATATTCTGCATGGATGACCTCGACCACGAACGAGGCTTCGCCTGACACCGCGAAGGCTCATTCCGATACCGACTCTTCTGGCGAACCTATCTTGACACCTCCAGACTCGGAAGCCAGGTTCCCTACTACCCATCTCCCTGAGCCATCACAGCGCCGAACGTCTCCATCTCCACTTCGAATCTCGTCTCTTCCACAAGACATCAAAGAAGAATTCAGGCCCGAGAATCGAACTGAGGCTGTTGACTGGTCAGAAGCAGGGGAGGAGGCATTGGGAAGCGATCTTGATTTTGACGAGGACGATATGGCTGGCATTCGGCCCTCCATGCACCGTCCTACAGATGGGCGGTCACAACAGCCGTTATTGAAGGATGAAGGTCGAGGACGATCAGAATTCGAGTCGACCAACGGCAGTGCCCGGCCAGCTTTAGCATCTAGACGCAACACATTTCGTTCCCGATCTCCTTCTTATACTGATCCTGCGAATGCCACTAGGAGGAAATACATCTATGCATCTTTTTTCTTGCTCCTTTCCCTCATCTCCTTTGTAGTACAAACGGAAACCGCCGTCTACATACAACATACACTGGGTTGGAAAAAGGCATACTGCATGTTGTGGTTGACGCACGGATCGTGGTCCTTGTTATACCCTGCTCAACTTCTCATCTTGCGAATACAGAAGCGGAAGCTGTCATGGCCGGCGTTCTGGCGGAGACACAAATACCAGATACGGACAACTGCCCAGATGGTCGAACATCAACAACTGCATCTTACCAGTTCAGCCAAGAATAAATCCCCAACCTCATACATCATCCGCAAAACCGTGTTTGTTTCCACAGCCCTTACCATCGCTGGCGCAAGCTGGTATGTGGCTGTCGACCTAACCACTCCCAGCGACCTAACAGCCATTTACAACTGCTCCGCATTCTTCGCCTACGTCTTCAGCATTATGCTCCTCCACGACAAACTCCGCCTCGACAAAGCCATCGCCGTTGCCGTCGCCATCGCCGGCGTCCTCGTCGTAGCCTACGGCGACAAAAAGGACCCCAAACACGCCGGCCCTCACGGCGGCGCCTCAGGCGGTGGGCCCCAAGACGACGACGGGGCCACCGAAGCCAAGAACCGAACAGCCGGCAACCTGATCATCGGCATCGGCAGCGTCCTCTACGGACTCTACGAAGTCCTCTACAAGAAATGGGCCTGCCCTCCCGAAGGCACCTCGCCAGGCCGCGGCATGATCTTCGCCAACACCTTCGGCTCTCTCATCGGCCTCTTCACTCTCACCGTGCTCTGGATCCCCCTCCCGATCCTGCACGTCACGGGTCTCGAACCCTTCGAGATCCCCCCACCCCACACCGCGGGTCTTCTCCTCATCTCCACCATCTCCAACGCGGTCTTCAGCGGTTCGTTCCTCGTGCTCATGAGCTTGACCAGTCCGGTCCTCAGTTCCGTAGCGGCGCTGCTGACCATCTTCCTGGTGGCAATCACGGATTCATTCTTGCATCCGGAGAGGTCGTTGAGTGCCGCCGCGATCGGGGGTGGGAGCATGATTATCGTGGCGTTTGTGCTGTTGAGTTGGGCTACTTATCGCGAGATGGATCAGGAGAGGAAGAGGATGGAGGCGGATGAAGGGGTGATTACTGATGACGAGGAGGATTGATCATAGACTACTTGGGTGTCGAAATGGGGTGTTGAGGGATAGACAAGTGCTTGTGGAGCTGATTTTATCTCGTAGCATTTAGAGACTGGTGAGAGATGCTTATCAATGGGCATTTGGGCCTACAATATATATTTACTTTGGGAGACTCCTTTGCATTCTCACTGGCGTGGGTCGTAGGTACCGGAGTTACCACCAAGCCGGGTATGGGTGCTCAAGACGAGCTTCCGAGAGACAAATTTCTATTTTCTCCTGCCCTCCTACTACTGCGGTCATTGTTGACATAAGCTTCTACCATTCTGTAACGGTTTATCGAGGACCCAGTTTCTCCATGACCCTCGGCCCTTGTTCCTCCCATTCCTGTTTCGAGATCCACATATCCTCTTTGTCTGCCATGATGTTGGCCAGCACCGCCCCACCCAAAAAGACCATGTGTCTCCTCCTCGGTGGGTCTTCGATTCGGACTTTGAATTTCTATGATATCACGCAAACATGTCAGCAGCTGCCAGGCAATGCGCGATGATCAGAGCATGTATGGATTCTTACATTCAGCCTCTCCGGATTCCCCTGCAGCACCCTCGTCAACCACAACTGCTTGAGTTCTTTCTCCAACCTGCTCGGGAGGCCGGGATACATGCTGCTCCCACCAGATAACACTATGGCTTTGTAGAGACTACTCCGCACATCCACGTCGGCCGTTTGGATGGTGTTGAACAGATACTCGGCTATGCCCGGCTGTTCGACGTCGACGAGATGCGGCTGGAACAGACATTCCGGTGCCTCGAAGCGTTCGGACCCGACGCGGATGACGCGGCCGTCGGGGAGGGTGTAGGATTCCACGAGGACGGTGGTGTCCTCTGACAGTCTTTGGTCGAGGTTCAGGTCGTAGGAGACGTAGCAGAGCTTTTCTTTGATCTGCCGCACGGTTTCGAAGTCGGCTGTTCGGTTCAGCGCGTAGCCGCGCCGGAGGAGGAGCGCTATCAGATTTCGGGTTACGTCGCGGCCTGCGACGTCGAGCCTGCGGGTGAGGTGGTTGAGTACTGTGGATTCGTAAACCGGCACGATGTGGGTGACTCCGTCGCCGCTGTCGACGACCACGCCCGAACTGAGGCCTTGTGCGTACAGAGCTAGGACGGCCTGGATAGCGACGTAGACGCCGCCGAAGTTATAGCGCTCGAACATGACTTCGCACATACGTTCTCGATTTTTCAAGGGGTTCATGGGAGGCTCGGTGAGCAGGATCTTGCGGCCCGAGGGATCGACCCGGAGCTTTTCGTGGAATGTGAAGTCCCAGAGATGTTGCATGTCGTCCCATATTTTCACTATCCCGTTCTCCATCTATTCAATCGGACCACTTTGTCAGCTGGGTGGCCGGCGGTAGCAATGGATTTGGTAAGAGGTCGTACAGGATATGATATTTGGAGCATCGACCGAGCTGCTGCCGCTTCATCACCACACATGATATCTTTGACCACGATATCTCCTTGCCTCTCCTCTGACCGTAATATCGGCCGCCCCACTATAGAGGGGTATTGGTGCTCTGGGAAATTCTAGCATCTGCCGTTAGGAGACTCGGAAAGCTTTGGATTCGGTGATATGTCTGTATACCTGTGCGGCATACCCAACCTTTAAAAATCCTGTGCCTCCATCGAGGACTGCACAAATGGTCAGCTAAGGTCCCTGGGCTGTAGGTGCAGCCGCGAACCAATTGGGGGTTCTGCCATGATGGCCCTCTCTTGTCCCGAGACTCAAGTAACTCAAAGCATTGCGCGAGGGGGCCTTTGTCGCAGGAGTTTATAAAAAGTTTAGGTATCACAATGTGGTGGAGCATGCGCCAGCCAGAAAGGTGTGCCTAATATAGTTCTCCAGCTACAGTACTCCGTACGTAGTAAGTCAGTCAGTCGGCCATCAATTTGTGTGCGGAGTGGCACTAGCAATGCCAAGAATAGGCTGGACCCTCCGAGTCCCCCCAGCATCAACATGTCTACTACGAGATGCAGAGAGAGTCGTATAGTTCTTCATCAGTCCTACAGACATCAATCAACTTACTGACTGCCGACAACGTGGAGCTTCTAATCTTGTTCTCTGTTCTCAGTGATGACAATGTATTGGGCTTCAAGATCTTGCACACCTTTACTCGGCGTCCCCGGCGACCATCCAGGGCTAAGTGACCCGGAGGGCTCTAGCGACAGCCTTCTATCTATTCTTTGTGGTTCATTCCCCCCTTAAACCCAAATGTAGTGAGGGTGATCCGAAGATCCTCATGGTGATCGTCCTGCCCACGTCGTATACATCCAGAACAAGCATAGTTTGAGCTGCCTCAAGTGTATCTTCGTACTTTTGGGCCGATGGGCCTCCATGCACAAGTCTATAAGATTCTCCTCCTCTATTCCTTCCTAACTTCTATTTTACACTCATTATATGTGTTGTGTAAGTGATTACCTTACATCAATCAATACAAGTCAACGTTCATCCATATCCATTTCCATTTCCGAAAGTCTTTCATCTCCTTAAGAGGACGATGAGTTCACCAGACAGTTCAAATACCAGAACTGACCCAGCACAAAACATGTCTCCACGAAGAACTGCCGACCGAAGAAGACACCCTACTCAGCAGGTGCGGGTCAAGTGCCTGTCTCCGTCCGACCCACAGAAGAGAATGATTGCCAGATCAATGTACAAAGAGGCCAAGGATGGCCGTACAATAGGCTTACTGGGACACACCCAGAGCATTGAATTATTCCTGATTTTGAGCATGAAATGCTCTAGCCGACCGAAAACAAAGCACAATGCATTGAAAGCATTTGTAGGCCAGGAACAGGTCAAGCCTAGATTCTCGCAGCCAAGGCCAGTCAAAAGAGCTGTTAACGATCTAGGCGGACTGATCAGTGAGCTGGACAGTCTGGCGGCCGCTCACTATCAGTCTTGTATATCTGGCATGATAGATGATGGGAGTAACTCTTCCTGCTTCAGAGAGTGGGAGGACGCCCAGGTCGCATTGTCTCTGACGTTCAAAGGCCGCCTACAGAACCTCCTTGAGGAGCCCTCCACGCCAATGGAGGAGGCCCCCGAGACTGATGTTCAGCGTCTGGCTTCTGAAGTGAGCGGACTGGGAATATAATAGATCATGGTGCTCTCTCTAATGTCTCAGCAATTTTGCTATCTGGCCTGCCACATACGTCACCTAAAGGCCAATGCCACCAATGCGTCCCCTCGCTCATCCCCGGCGGCGCAGCACCCCTTACTAATGCAGAGCTAGATAACCCATGGCCACATCTCAGCCAGACGACGCCCAGGAAGGTGCCATGATATTTGCAACGCGTTCCTTGGCGCAGGCACCACTATATATAGAGTATAGTACCTCAATCCTTCGACTCTTGGGCTCTGCCTCTATAACTCGGTTACTTTCGCGTTGCTCCTGCCACCCTTTTTCTTTATTTTCAGCGTAGGTTGATGCAGTCACATTCCAGCAATGTTTTCAAGCCCAATCTGGTCGTCTCTTCTCTTCGGGGCTGTTCTATTAGTCTGTGTCGGACTTGTCCACCTTTCTGTCATATGGACTCGAAAGCGTCGATTTTATAAGAATCTGGTAAGAAATCAGAACCGCAAATTCTGTCTCCTCCCGTCTCAGAGGTGGATTCGATTGTTGAAGATGTTGCTGATACTAGATAGCCATGTCCACCGCACAGTTTCCTATTCGGACATCTCAAAGTCCTAGGTGAAGTCATGCAAACATTGCCCAAGGACGTCCATCCCCAGGTAGCCATGGCAATCGTCAGGGAGAAATACGATTTGCCTCACGTGTTCTACATGGATCTGTGGCCAATTGCAACATCCTTTCTCATGATCCAGGATCCGGACATAGCTGCTCAGATCACCCAAACCAAGAACCATCCCAAACACACCCTCCTTAAAGAATTCCTTCGGAATATGACTGGTGAGCAATCTATCGTGACCAGCGAAGGCGCAGAATGGAGGAAGCTACGTTCAATGCTTGGACCTGCATTCTCTTCCCACCACCTTTCAACCCTTGTACCCGATATTACAGACCATGTTCTGAAGTTCCGCGAGCGGCTGCAAGAATTGGCCAAAAGTGAAAAGATCTTTCGCATGCAGGACCTGGCCTGTAACTTGACCATCGATGTCATCAGCCAAATAGTCCTGGGTAGAAGCTTCAATTCGCAGACGACGTTTTCCTCAATTACGCACAACTTCCGCAAGTTCATCTCGTGGGCTGGTTCAAGTATGGATATTATATCTCGAAACAAGAGCAAACTTCCCATCTGGTGGTATTGCCGACTCCTCGATCGAGAGCTCACCGCTGAGATCCAGGAGCGTCACGCAGGCAGTACTACTACAAACACTACTACCGCCGGTAGAGCCGTCGTCGATCTAGTCTTTCAAGCCTACCAAGACGAAAAACTAGGTCTTTATACCTTAAAGGAGGCGCAAAAGCCCGACGTCGACCCAGAATTCATGCTCCTGGCCGTCAACAACATCAAAACCCTCCTCCTAGCCGGGCACGACACAACCGCCACCACCATAGCATATAGCTATTATCTCCTCTCCCAGCACCCTGACATCCTCTCCGCTATCCGCTCCGAACACTCCACAGCCTTCTCTCCCTCCATCAAAACCACAGCATCCCTCCTCAAAAGCCCACAGGCATCAAAACTCCTCTCCCACTCCATCCTTCCCCTTACCACCGCCGTGATCAAAGAGGTCCTCCGTCTCTTCCCGGCCGGAAGTACCATCCGCATGTCCTCTCACCCAGCCACGGAAACCCTCTCCTACCACTCCCAGTCCTTACCGTTGACCAATCACGTCCTCTGGGTTTCACATTACGGCATCGCACATCGCGAAGATCTGTTTCCGGACCCGGCGGCGTTTGATCCGTATCGGTTCATGCCGGGAAGGGAGGTTCCGAAGGATGCGTGGAGGCCGTTTGAGAAGGGACCCCGGAACTGCGTGGGTATGGAGTTGGCGATGCTGGAGATAAAGGCGGTTCTGGTCTTGACGCTGAGGGAGTTTGAGTTCGAGAGCTTGTATGGGAAGGAAATGGATGGAGAGGGTTTGAGGGAGGCACCGGAGAGGCATGGCGGAAGGGCGTATCAGATGGTTGCTTTTGGACCGAAGCCCGCGGGGGGGTTGCCCATGAGGGTGAGATTGAGGGCGGGATCAGAAAAAGAGATGGAGAAGGAGAGGTGGGAGGAGGAAGAATTGATTCAGATGGCGGGTTTAGATGGGCGGTTGGGGTGAACTGGCAAAGAAATGTGCTGCACATAGAGGTATGCCCTGGTCATTGTTCCAAGACTGGGACTGTTAAGACGATGCATTGCAAGACTTGGTGGGTGCTATCCCCCGAAGCTTACTCCTCCATTCCGTTTCTGCTCTATAACTGCCAGGCAAGGCGCGGGAGCTCATTCGCTTGTGGGAATATGAGACCAGCCTGGTCTGGAGAGACGAAGTAAATCGGAGCATGCTGCAAGCAGATGTCGAGGACATGGGTCTCGGCAAAGCGTGGCCCACAGAGTTTTATAACGGCACAGCAGGTCTTCCTCTGATCAAGGCCGGTCAGAAAGACCTGAGCGCGTAGTACAACAATCTCAAGCCAGCTGATGAGACATGGCTGCTCGGGCAATTCCTCGACTATGCATACCCTGACGGCGGGATCATCTTTTTGAGCAACCCGGAGCGACTTCCTGACGATATGAAGAAAGAGAACTTCTGGAAAAGGCTGCAACAGTAAGTAATTTATAGCCTTTCCAGCTTTGGAAGCCATGCTGACAAGCCGTTTTAGGTTCCTTTCCCAAATCACGATGGAGCAAGCATCCCCATATTTTTGCCGTTCGCGCCTGGGCAAGCGACCCATCAAGCTGTCGGAAGGACTACCGACATTGACTAGCAACATGGAATATCTTCGCGGGCGTGACAGACAAGAGGGCGAAAGAGCCTATGGATAAAAGGACTCAAGTTGTAAGGTTGGTGGTACGGAGCTGCGGTTGGGTCAAAAAAAAAAGGAGTGCTGAAGCTCATTCTCCCTACGCCAACGGACTGGATCAGTGCATGCAACGTTGGAGTTGGGAACAAAGCTTTCTATCTTGTAATTTAGGCATTGGTGCTCATAGGGTCGATCGTATCTTTTATCCATCAACCGGGCAATTATGCTACATAGTAAAAGCGAAGGTCATATCGTAGCATGCAATTGAAATGTCAATGCCATGTAGAGAGAACATATATATAATTTTAGCAAAGCGATCTTGAAAAATTAGGTTGTATTTCCGGGATGGTGGCGCAACGGTAAATATGACCTCTCTCTCACTACCCTTGTTAGATCTTGAGTGGATCTCCCAATTTGTGACGTGTCCAATTAAAGCATGGATTTCTCTCTAACAAATAAATAGGTAGCGCGTTCGACTCCAGAGTTGCTTTCTACGCAGATCGAAAGGTTGCGTGTTCAAATCACGTCCGTCTCAAATTTATTTTTTTTTCTCAAAAAGGTCTCCCACTTCATTTTGAGCAGTAGAGGAGCATCTCATACTTACAAAAGAATTCTATTATAGTTACTTACTGATGGCTGACTGCTTCTTTGATTTATTATATCTCTGGTGTCACTGAATAGTTACACTTTTTGTTACGCCGCGCCAAGACTGCCAAGCCTGTCAAAAAGGGTAGTAATGCTGCCATTCATGTAGATCACCATCAACCCAGCCCATGCATGAAAGGTCCTCGCTGCTGCAATGCTCGTAACATCATTGATTCTAATAGTCACTAATCAGCCTCTACGTTCCTTGTAAGAAATGATTTATACATCTCTGCCAGACTCAGTTGTTGTTTCAGCAAGCGATCAATGGCCATTCGTCTCCCTCTCTCCTTTCCCGTCTTCGATCTCACAGAAGGCCTTGAACGTCACCATATCCGCTCCGCGACTCTCAATCACACATTCCGCCGTGGCACCAACAAAATACACGAACCCCTCCTTCAGCTCCTCCCTCTTCGGCCCGACGCTGATACTCCCCTGTCCGCTGGTGCAGATGACCACGCTGGGCCCGGCAATGCCCTCGAAGGTCGCCTTGGCCCCGTCCGCCTTCAGCGCCGTCCTCACCACGCTGAACTCCTCGATCGGCGGATCGTACAGCAGACTGTCGCTTCCGGAACCGTACGCCGCGGTGTTCAGCGTCACGTAGGGATAGTCGACGGGCTGCAGCAGCTGCTGCGCGGGCGGATCGTGGTCGTAGGTCAGGATCTCGGTCAGGGTGTTGACGTCCTGGAACTTGGGCGTGAAGCCGGCGCGGATGACGTTGTCGGAGCTGGCCATGCATTCGATGATGTCGCCGGAGACGTAGGCGTGGATGTCGTCCGCCTTGAGGTACATGGCCTGGCCGGGGGCGAGCTTGACGTAGTTGAGGAAGAAGAGCACGAAGAGGCCGATGTCGTGCGGGAAGTGGGCGTGGCAGCGGGTGGCAGAGTTCCGCGCTCGTGTTGACCGAGGGGCCCGGGCTGATCTCCTGGGATTCGGCCTGCGAGACGAGCGACTTGGACATGGCGCGCACGTCTTCTGGGGCGGATTTCATGAGCGCGGTGAAGGCGGCGCGGAGGCTGGATTTGCTGGTCACGAGGTCGCAATCCTCGGCCGCGGCGGTGGTTTCGAGGCTGCTGGCGCGGTCTTCGCCGACGAGGGCGCGGAGGGGCGGGATGGTTTTGAGGAAGTGGGCGATCTCCTTGAGCGGCCGGAAACCGCAAAGGCCTTCGAAGTGGGTGATGGCGATGGCCATTTCCGGTTTGTGGTTATCGTCCGGGTAGTTCTTGGGGTCTTTGGCGTGAAGCTCCCCGGCCAGTTTCTTGTTCGGGTGGGCTTGGATGGATAGTGCTTTGGAGATGGAGAGCACTTTGAAGAGGAAGGGCAGTTTGTTGTTGTACTTCTTGGAGATCTCGGTGCTCATCAGGGCCTGATTGTCTGAGACGAGGTCCAGTAGCGAACGGCCTGTCTCGAGGTCTTTGGATGGCAGTGAAGGATGAGTGCCCATCCATAGCTTGGCTTGATCAGTCTGATGCTTGACGGGAGAGGTTAGGAGCAGGCAGACCTCAGCATAAGGTTTCTCTTCTTCGATCGAGAAGCCATCGGGAGGAGTGGCGAGTGCATATTTGGCAGCAGCAGAGTCTTTGCCCTTCTTCCCTGCACATCTTCAGATCTGTTCTCAACCTGAAATGAATATCCTACCCCAATCATAGCTATTGACGCCTAGAAGTCAAGTATTAGCTCCTTCCATCGCTATCAATGCACCGATCTGTTCTTACCACACTGGAGCCGAATCAACGGCACTTGCATCGTGGAGACAATTGCTTTGCAATAATTGCTCTCCAATAACTGCTTTGCAATTGAAATTATTGCACAGCTCACACTCCAGTCTGCTCTATCCACGCGTCAGTGCTCTTTGAATTGTGGCCTTGTTTTCTGGTCGTCATTTGGAGAGCTTCTATTCTGGTGACGACAGCTGACTAAGAGGCCCTCCACTAACTCACCAGTTAAGCTCAGCCCTATGAGCTCCACCCCTGAGGCCCGGAGGCCCCTATTTCAGAATGGCGCCTAGGCTGCCTCCAACCAAGAAAGGTCCCCAGCGGACCCACCAACCACCGCCTTCGAATATCCCAGCTGCCGCGGCTGGCGATGTTGTCGCTCAACCTTCTACACCGGTGCGCAATATTTCGGATACCCCAAGGAGGCACACCAGGCGGAGCGAACGAAAAGTCGATGTTCAGACACTGCCTGGTACTCGATGGGATAAGCTTGAGATAGAACGTCAGAGACATCGGCAACGTGAACAAGAATCTGGTTCAGGCATTACAGAAACACCGGTTCTGAACGAATTGTCTTTACATGAGAAGACCATACACGCCTCGATCCATCGCGCTTCGGCTACCAAAACCCGTGATCTCGTTTCGGAGACAAACCCGATTGAAGTTTCAGCTCTACAGCTAGGAAGCCAATCTTTAGGGTCGGTCAAGGAGGCCAATGGTCGCGTGCTCGCCACAACATCATCGCCGATCAAAAAGCGTCGTCCGAACCAGTCACGGCTTTCTAAGCATCGGCTCTCAACTGGGCGACAGCGTCAATCTAAGCCCGAGGCTGGGTTTACTAGCCAATCTCCATCATCAACTTTGGAGGCTGTTATCGAGAGAGATCCTCTATTGAGCATGGCTCGACGACCTGGCCGCAACCAGGTGGACTTTGTCGCAGAGTTGAAAGAGACAATCCACGAATCGTTATCCAAGCTGAGCGATATCCAGGACAAGCTAGCTCCGCTAGGACAACAGATTTTGGTATTGGAAGAAGAACTGAAGGCAAAGGAGGCTGACAACAGTAAGTCATAACCAATCCTTCGAGTGTATATTGTACTGTTGCGGTTGCTGACAGAATAACGCCCAGGCGTTACTCTAGATGACACAAAAAGACTGGATGAATTGTATCGAGCAAAGGTCAAGCTCACAGAGCAAGAGACCGGTATTTTGCATCAGCCGCCAGATGACCTCATCAATAAAATGGGCATTTTAAATGCCCTTGCTGCGCGGGAGGATACTCAAGCACCCGGCCGCGGCTCAGCAGCCTCCAAACAGAGAGGCTCTAAGCGGTCTGCGGTCGAGTCCGAAACTGCTGTCGTGGACTCACCCGGCCCAAGTCCAAGTGATGTGAGGTCTTCCGATCAACTCCGGCGCGTAAAAGGCCAAGGGCAAAGAAGTTCTAGTGTTGCGAGCCAAACACCAAGGGATGGCACTTCGAGACTTGACGATGGTCCGGACGGCCCCAGAAGCGGTGTTGCCGATCGAGCCAAGATGCTGGTGGTCCATGCTGAGGTCGCCTACAGACAGAGCAAGGCCACACATGACTCCGATGGAGAGCGTATACATTGCACAATCAATGCGATCAGGAAGGACAAGGGAAGGTATGCCATTTCGCGCCATGGCTCTCTCCCTCTTCCATCTCTCTTGATCAACACAGACTGACTGCAATCAGTGGCAGGACCATCTACGATATCAAGGACAAGGACGAAAGTGAAAATCTCCTATACACCGCTCGAGCCGAAGATCTCTTGCCGATACCTCCTCCTGGCAGCCAGCTGCCCACATTTTCTCCCGGAAAGCATATTATTGCGCTTTATCCTGGAACCACCACCTTCTACAATGCTCAAGTAATCGGCTTGTTTACCAAGAGGGACGTCTACAGTCTTAAGTTCGAAGGCGAAGAGAACGAAAAAGAGGTCAAAGAGGTGGAAAGGAGGTATGTATTGGACATCAAGACCAAATAGCTTGGTGGGAGTATGTTCTGCTTGGGCCAATGTCGAGTGACTGGTTTTGGCTTGCATTTGCCAGGGCGTGGAATATGGGTAGAGCGTCAGAATAACATTTTTAGTATATTGTGTATTGATATCCAAGATAGTCTTCGAGGTGATATTGTTCTTGAGCTAGAGAGGAATCGGACCTACGAGTGGCTGCTGAATTTACTTCTTGGTCATCAACCATCTGCCTTCACCCAGAGACAGGGTGACACAAAACTGGGGAGGATCCACAGACAGACCCAGGAGGTTGTATTGTGTAGGAACTGAGCTAGAAAGTAATCTCTGAGCTGGGTTCTATACTTATACTAACTTACTACTATAAGTTAGTAATAACAGGGATGCAAGTTCGCCAAGCCTCCTAACTCGTACTAGCTTACTCCGAGTCATCCAGCTGAGAATGCCGAGGCTTACTAAGGCAACATTTGATCCCGCGAAGGCCGTCAGTCTTCTATCCGGACACTCCTCCGCCCTACTAATATCTCCCTTTATTCTTCAAAACACCCATTCTCTGTGTACACAATCTCAGCATGCCCGACCTTCCTTCGCACGCCTCCCCCATCCTCGCCCCACAACCTCAACCCTCGACGGGACCAGTCCCCAATTGGGACCCGGACCGCTCCTCCACACCCGCCCTGCCCGGGGCGCTCATCTCCCCGGCCTTCACCCCGCCCGCAACCCCCGGCGCGAGCGG